TTGAATTTAAAAAAAAATCATAATTAAAGGAACTTGAAATTCTAAACTCTGAATACGAATTTATCGTACTACAATTATAATATTTGATTGCCATCTTGCAACCTTATTGCGGAACTGTGCATAGAATAAAAAAAATAAAAATTGGGATGGAAAAACAGGGGTTGATCGTATAAGAGTGAAAATTAGAGTAATATGAATTTTTTTATTTAAGTTTTTAATTAACAAATAAAAAATAAGGGTTGATCATAGAGGGATGAAAATTTAGGGTTGTATGTATTTTTGTATGCTGTATCATAAAAAAATAAAAACAAAAATCTTTGTCAAAAAAATAAAATAAAAAATTTAGGGGTGGACCCTTAAGATTTAGGGGGATGAAAAATAGATGTTATTTGATTCTCCACCCTGGCCGATATGCACGCTAAGATTCACGAAAATCGGTCGAGCGGTTGCGGAGAAGTTCAATCACGCACCACGTGACATGAGAATTTTATATATTAGAAGTAGTAATAACCATAAACACAGCTGAATAATGGACAACAGAATACAAATAAAAAATCAATGTAAAATAATGTCAATATTAACAAGCACCTTATCAATTTTCTATCATCATACGCTTTGCGGGAAAGGAATGGAGCATCTTCTCTCAAAAGTTGAGAAAAATTAAAGGATTTTTTCAATAAACATACCACTAATGGCTTAAGGTTTTGTACTGGGGCCAGTCTTTTACTCTCTGTATATAAATCTGACCTACCAAAGCGCCAACAGCTTACAGTCGCAACTTTTGGAGATGATACAACTTTGCTTGCTTTGAGTACATGCCCAACTTGAGCATCTGAACTCCTACAAAGCGGAATTCATAAAATAGAGAAAATGATGGCCATATGGAGAATCGCTACTAGCAAATCCAAATTTGTGCAAGTAGCCTTCACCAAACTTAGCCTTTGCAAAAAGGACTGCCAGTCAACAAATTTAAATGGTACTCAACTTCCTCATCAACATATGATTAAGTAGTTGTTAGTACATACAAATGCACTTAGAACACAGAATTACATGGAAAAAACATGTGCAAACAAAAGAGTTCTAAATAACCTGAAGTACAAAGGTCTGGTTACTCAGTAGAAACTGAAAACTAGCAATCAACAAATATACAGTATAATTCATAAGCCTATTTGGACATATTGTATTGAAGTATGGGGCACACCCTATATATAATGTATAATATCTAAGGGTATAAAAGTATAATTACTGGTGGTCGGACCTCTTGTGAGTCCACACAGGTAGATACTACTACCCCGCCTATTTCTGCAGTGAAGCAGTAATCCGTTTCAGTTTGAAGGGTGGGGCAGCCGTTATAACATACTGAGACCTTAGAACTCATATCTCAAGGTGAGTGTCAGCATTTACGTTGTAGATATTAATGGGCTCCAGTAACCAATTAACACCAGGTGGGCTGTGAGCTCGTCCACCCATTTAAGTACTTAATATAAAAAAATATATATTTTGGGACAAAGAAATATATTTGATGGTTCATCAAAACATAGGAGATCTATGAAATCTTTGAGCTGCCAATGGTCAAGAAATGATAAAAATGCTATTGGCCCCACAAGCCACAATTGTAAAAATATCCTAAACAGCTTGCATGTTTGCATATTTGATGAAAATACCCATCCGGAACTGGATGACTACATAAAAAATAAGGTAAGGCTCTGCTGGGAGTACTCTAATACCTAGCACACTATCTCATCTACATATAGTCCACACAACTAAGGGCATAATAAAGAGATAATATAATATATATGTGCATAATAAATTATATATTAATGATAGAAACTTGTATAAATAATATATAAGTTTCTATCAGTTATCTATTATATAAGTTTGGGCTCAGAGCCTCCCTTGTGTTAAATAGTAGCAGGTAACTTTCCTCAAATGTTTGAATGTATGTATGTAATTATACATTTTATCATACGTTTATAATAGGTAGTAATAAACTTTTGTATTTTTGATATAAAAAGTTTATAGCAATACTTAAATAATTAATAAATTATTTTTAGAATTTTTTTTTTATAGGAAGTGAATTTAAAAAGTTGTTATTTTCACTTTTTATCCTACTCAGTACATTTGTATGTAATGGAATTTTTCATTTAAATTTTCACTAACTTGAAAATTAAAACATGCATTAAACTCTGGTGACAACCGTATCGCTTGGACTTTTATTCCTATAAAAAGTAAGGATAATAATTTAGATAACAAAGTACTGGTCAAGCTGATTAAAGTGTATTACAAATAAAAAGCAATCTGCTTACTACCAAGGATGGCCCAAGTATTAATCAACACTATAATCAATGGCGGATCCAGGGGGGGGGTCATGGGGGTCATGACCACCTCGTGAGCTGGTTCCAGGACTTAGGTGGACAACTAATTGAATATAATGATTTTATTTATATATTTTGTCACCATACAGATTTTATGTAACTACATACCTTCAATATTTAATTAATTAAATATAATAACTTTGTATAATGGCAAACGCTTGGGAACGAACGCATCTAAATTTGACTATGTGACCCCCTCCTGGCGCCAAAGCTGGATCCGCCCTTGACTATAATAAACTGAACACAAACTTTCAACAGTTTAAAAGACTTTCACAATAAATTGTATCTCCTTTGATTTTACAATCAGTAAATAGAGCAAGCTCCACGTTTAATTTTTCCAAGTATATGGTTCTAAGCGCTTCTCCGGTTAGTAAATGTAATCTCATGACAACTGGTCCTTCTCTGGACTGTAGATTTTATTGGGGCCAATAACAGTTTTATAATTAATTATATTATATTATTTAGTTTTATGATTATTGCTCAATAAGCACATAAAATGACATCAATTTTGCAAAATAAATAAAACGATTTTTAAATAATGTATCACTGACGAGAAATTTTCATTGAAACTGCTGTCTTCAGAATTATTAACCTTAAAATTTTGTAACTTGGAAATACAAATTTTGCTAAAAAAAAATTGCTTCTTGATGTCACTTCAAATATATGGATGTCCTTATTTGTAACCCATTTTCTAATTATATGCTTAATGACTGATTAAACTACACTTTGTGAAAAAAAGTACTTTTGATAATATAAATCACGAAACTCTATAAAGAGTTCACTGATGTTTTTGAAAACGGAATTCATATAATCAGTGGTGAAAATGCTTTCGCTGTGCGCTTTAAGTTCACTGAGATTCGCAAACTTTTAAAACATTTCGTTCGAAGCGTTCCTATTCTTTTTTTTTTTTTTGTTAATGATATTATTATCCAGAAGATAACAATAGCGTTTTGAGAGACAATTCGCTAAGAATGGGAATAAACTTGATTTTTCTAAACATACCGCTATTCCCGTTGCAATCTTTCCAAAAAACAAACTAAATTACGAAAAAATCCAAACATTTGTGGGCATTGTTTCACAGACAAATAGTTCGATAAACTTTGAATAAATTCAATAATAAAAATGTGTGAACTGTACAGTAACTTAGAGAAAATGTATTTCTATTTAGCTTTAAATTATTGTAACTAAACTTCACCTTTAATGAGTAGGTTACTACTATTTAAGTAGAACAAAACTATAAAATAATAAACGTGACACTCTATCTATCAAAGTATCAAACCGTCACGATTTATTTTGTTTTTACAGAGTTCCAACTGGCAATGAAATTTATTCCATAAAACCAAATCAAGGCTTATCCTATAAGTTACCAGAAATCATGTACTCTATGGTCGATTGATCTTCCTAAATTTAAAAAAAAGAATAGAAACCTTTTTTACTTATAATGATTATATACATACCTATATTTTATGTGTGTTTATTTAAATAATACGCTAGTAAAAAATACGCTAGTTTAATGGAATGAAGAATAGATAGACTTTTTAGAAGTAACGCGAGAAGTAAAGTGGTATGAATTGTTTTACTGTGTTTCTTCTTAAGCCGTTTGTCATTGGGAAAGTGAACTAGTACGGAAAGATTAAATAAAGCTATTAGACGTGGCTTGTCAGTCTCTTTCAAAAAATCTACTGAAGTCTCACTAAGTTCCCATCATTTGAACTGGGACATTTCATCACATCTCATCTCGTTTCATTTTATTTGATTTTCTTCAATTTCGTCCCAATTTATAAGTTTTATATTATAGCTTCATTACATTCTGTTATGTAAATATTCATAATTATAGACTATATAAAGTCACCAAATGCTATAGGTACTTAGAAAAAAGAAGCAAGCCATTTAAGCAATGATGCCAACTTAGGAGATTTCTCCCTAGCTTAGGAAAAAATAAATTTATAACTGTGAATGTAAATGAGACAAATTGACCCAATTAAACCACCAATTTCTACAACTATGCACTCCTATTTTCTGATTTAAAGGATAAGACCACCGTTATACAATAGAGAGACTTTGACTTTGTGTCTAAATTTTTATAAAGGAAACAAAACTAATCAAAGCGATCGATTTTGTTAGCCTTCAGTATTATGTCGAGAGTCGAATAATTGCGTGGATGATTAGTATGCAATGATCACTTTGACTGTGGAAAAACTTGCAGACCTCTTGTGCTTTGAGGTATTGAAGCTTGTTTAAAGTATCAGACGGTTTCTATAATATGAGATTAAATGTAGAATTCTTCGTTTAAAACTAAATCTTGTGTTTGTTCCGTACATTTTAGGCCTAATAGACAATACAGTAAAGTAAAGTAGGTACAATCTTTGAATCTAGATAGATTATTCTCAAGTATGTAGTGTGTTAGGGCATATAGTAAGATAGGTGATATTAATATATATATAAGTTCCAGACAGATTCCCGGGGCTTGCAGTGCGCATTACAGTATGCTATAATAAATCTATTGATTGATAGCTTTGACATGCGCAAAGAGCCAGAGTTACGGGTGCATGGCATCTACAGAGCCTGGAATCAGCTAGAGACGATCTAGTCGAGTACTTTCTTTGTTCTATTTGGTTTTATTTATTTGTGGTTAAAACGGGAGTTCAAATGTTAACAATCATACAAAAATTTGCATAGCCATTCTTGAAATCTCGCTCCAGTACCAGTGTTCATCAAGGAGATTAGACAACGCTAGAATGCCCACATTCACTCTGCCCAGAAATCATTATCACTGAAAAGAAATGAGCTACAAGAGCAGGTAATTTCTTTTGCTAATTTTAGTATTCTCTTTGTTATCCTATTCTATGTGGTAAGTCTATCAGATCATTGGTCATAAATAAATAAATAGGTAAGGTCTTTACAAAAACCAGCATAAATCCTAAGCAAGAATCCTAAATCAAAGTCAACTGTCAATAAAATTTTTATAATGTATACCTACCGCACTGAAGTATGAAATCTAAAAATCTATTAGTTTATAAGTCTATGTACCGTACCATAGATTATACACCGTAAGAGAATACCATGGAGTTAATAAGTACCTACAACTGGAGTGCTGTCTAACGCCGAGAAATCGGTCTCGAAAGAGAATACTTTTTGGTCGCGGTGTCCTTGTCTAATGTGGTGACCATATAAAATTTATTTATAGGACAAAATTATACACATGCATCAGTTTTGAATTTACCTTAAGTAATTCTGTGTAACCCTATGTAAATACAAAACACGTGCTTGCAACGTTTTATTTATGTAAATTCAATTCTAAACATTGCTTCGTCGTCATGGTGACTTTTTTCGGACGGTTTTTTTTGGAAATTGCTGCGTTGTCGAAAATCTAGCACTGAGTTTTATTACAAACATCATTACCTCAGTTCTATTACTTAAACTTCCTCAAACTCATGTTTAACGTCCGAATACTCAACCGCGACTTAAATAATATATTATGTTGAACTTAATTACGCAATTCCTACTTTAATGTACTGGCTAAGTGGGCCGTGCAAATTAATATTTGACACACTGAGTGAGACACTGCAACACACATGGTCTGCGCGTATCGGGTGCTCTTTTCCTACATTCACATCTTCAATTGATTTAAAATTGCTTGTATTTTTACTTCTGTGCTATTTTCATGACACGTGTATATTAAGTCTACTAGTTACATTTTAGGAGATAAAACACAATGGGTAATAAAATGAAATGAAATGAAATTCATTTATTTGTTATATGTAGACAATTAAATAACTCTTAAATGACAAGTCAATACACATAACACGATACACATAGTACTTGATCTCTATTTACAAAATATTGGTTATACATATTATTATTATTAAGTTCAGTTAATTTTCTGTAGTCTTATAATATAACTTTTCCTCTATTTTAAGTAAATTCTTTTTTTTCAACGAAATACATAATTTATTTTAATCAATATCTAAGTGGACCATGAGTATCATTAAAATTTCGCAATTTAAATTTCAATTCAATTAAAAATCGCCATTTTTCTTTAATAAATCTAAAATCGACTTTATATTTACAATCACTATTTCGCGACTTTTAAGTTTTTGTTTCAATACCTTAACATCTTGTCGTAATTTTGCTTTTCTCGGGGTATTTTTTATTTCTTGCGTTTGAGTACTTGATTCTTCTTGTTTGACCTTTATATAGGACATTTTCCAGAAATTCCAACGTCATATTTACTAGAAGATCCTACTCGTTCGCTTAACGTCAGGCAAATGATATACATGCTTGCGTGCGACGCTATTCAATACAATAAAAAAAGTTCAAAAAATACCACGTGATGGCTCTTATAATATGAAAAATACATTGCAAAATTATAGTTTTCACGATTGTTTTTTCAAATTTAGTATATGACATAGATTAAGTACAATTTACAAGACAAATGGTATTAAATATTATAATGAGAAAAAATATCTCACATTTTAAAAATATATGCTCACACTAGTAAAAATTTATCAATGAATCTGACATATGGAAGGATATTCCACAAACTGGAGAGGATTCTCGCTTAAAACCACTTACATTAAAAGTGTTCACCATGATTACACGGAAACTTTCACGATTTTCGAAAAAAAACAAGCCACAAGCTGTATCAGTGCCATTTTAACTTCGCACTACAAACGTAAATAGACGCCATTTTTCTTTTAATCCATTCATAGCTCTTTTTCGGTGATGCCAACAATTAATCTGGCTTCCCACCAAATTCAACATGAAAACCATCAGAAATCTACGTACCTACCATTAAATTTTCCATTAAACAGAGTTCTTATTAATATAGAACAATAATTTTTTTGTTAATGAGCTTTATTAATATATGATGTTCTATTAAAAATCAATATATATCATATAATCAATACTTCTCATATAATTTATTTTAATAAATTGTCATCATCAGAAACTAATTTCACCATAACTTTGTACGTTTATTTTGAACCAATTTAATTTTTGACGTTGATGGAAATTCTAAATTCTCGCAACATTTTCTAGTTAAGTTTAAGTCACATCGTTTAAATAATATGTATTTAGATATATTATTGTCATAAAATGTTTAAAATCCTGTAAAGTGGATTGATTTTAACCTTTTCGATAATTTTCAACAACGCCCAAGCTACTAAAAAATCCACTAACCACTAAAAGCCATTTTTGATAACTAAGACGGGGGTCCAAATTCCGAGATTTTATGGAAAATCCTCTAAGCTAGCAACACTGCTTTTTGTTTGTAAAATGTGCGAGAGGGACACCACCACTTAATAATCATTCTCTTTTCAGACCGTTTTTCCTTACATCTTTTGCTATTTAAAAATAAACTTTAAGTCATAGAGATAATGTATATTTTTAGTTTTTATGTCAAACGAAGTAAGCACTCCAGTTAGAATAGTAACTCTATGGAGAATACAAAACTAAACATCATTGCTTGACTTTCTGTGGTTTAGGAGTATGAGAATAGAAGTAATAGTGTTCTGTGTATGAGAATACTCAATACAGACAGAAAGTTGTTTTAAAAAATTGTCCGTCGAGTTTCTGTGTTCAATTTCATTGTTTTGTTTCAGTTATTAGTGAGTGTACGTCTGCGCAGAAATACCAAAAGCTGCATAGCTTTTTAGACTGGACTGCGTTGCAAATAAGGTACGTTATTGGATAGAGTTAAGTTAGATGGATAAAATCAATAAATCAGGTGTTGCGCATTTCGAAGCTTTGATTTTTATAGGATGGCCACTGCTCGTGGCTTCTTCTTCGACGACGAGACGGGCGAGTTGGTCACTTACGGTGTGAACGAAGAAACTGGCGAGCCGATGGTTAATAATCCAACGGTGTCCTTTTTTGGAACACCTCGGCCCATTCCACCGATGGAGACTCCGAATTTTCCAGAAGGTCCAATGAGTCAGACAAAGAAGTTTCAAGCACTCAAGGAAAACATAATCGCAGGCTCCAATCCCATTAGCCACCGCATGCTGCTCTTTCCATCCGTGATGATTTTTCCGGAGCTCTTCTGTGTTCTGCTCCTCATTCTAGAGGTGTATCTACATGTGAAGTGCCACAAGAAGAACAAAAAATTAAAAGATCAAAACTTGTACTACCGAAGTCCGTTTCATGTCGTAACAAGTACTTTCTGTGGAGCATGCCGTGAAAGTGAGCTGGCTTCTAGGATAGGGCAGATGCAAGACAAGCGACGCAATCGTTACGACTACTTCAGAGGGATTGCCATATAATGTGGTAATTATTATTATATCTATTAAAACTAGCAGTTCAACTCACAGCTAATGAGTTATGTTTCTGTGTGTTTTTCCACTTTTTCTCCTAGATCTAAGTATATTTCAATATAAAAGGCATAAAATTGTCGGTATCTCTTCTAGAGAATATTTTGGGTAACGGTCCTATTATTAAGTATCTATGTAGGATGTATTTAGAATTTTGATGTATACAGTATGCATTTAAAAACTTTGATATGTAAGATGTGTTGGAAACAATTATTAATGATGAATACATGCTCGCTACAAGTAGCTACATATTTTGTTATAAAATTAAGAATTTAGGCTCATTCAGCTTGACTGAGGCATCTGATACCATGAAACTAAAAAACTATTGAAATATGTCAGGAGTTTACCAATCGTCATATTGCCAGTATATTTTGCCATTACTGAGGTTCATTATTGTTCATGGTCAAAGTACATCTATGACCAGTCTTATAGAGCTTTGTTAGAAGTTTTCATGAAATGCAAAAAATCAATAAAACAAAAGAAAGGGAACACTGTTATAAATTATCCCAACAGGAGGGTGGTTGAGTGCTTTGCTCACTCGGTACCAAGCAGTTACCAGAACCTATATATATATTGCAAAGTGAATGCTGTTGTGAGAAAGGAAGCCGAAATCTAAATTGTATTGTAGAAAATCTGTTACACTCTTAAAGCTTGAACGCATGACTGATTTACGGCAGAAAAAGGCACAGAATAGTAGTGCCAAACAGGCACAATACCAACAATATAACCATATGAGACGTTACCTTTATAATAGTGGCCTAGATTAAGATGAGTAATAATTATTTAATAAGATTGGTGTCTATGAACACAAAGGTACTAAATTGTGGTAAATGTTAGTTTTAAATGACTCTAACTGTATTGGCGTAAGTAATCACATTCATAAACATTATGTAATTGTATCTTCATTATATGGTAATGTTACAAAATCATCAATTGAAAATATCTGTTTAATTTTCCAAATTATTACACCATTGCTGTTAAAATAGTTCATAGATTCAAACTCAAATTAATCAACGGGATATTCTTTCATTGATATTGAATTTAAGCCTATAAACTACATGAATATAATCTTCAACTATGTAACCCTTAATCTTAGCGTAAGCATCTTGTAATTAATGATACCACATCTTTAAACAAGTGGTCATATTTATATAAGAATTTCAATCATCTCTTTAAGTGTAGATGATGGCTTAACTGAGACGGCTCTGGTGATGATGAAAAGTCAATCATTTATTCCATACTATTATTATACAGCATATTACTGTTATATTTAACAGATGTATTCAAAATCTTTAATTGGTCAAGTTATACTGAAATGGAGGAATTCACTTGAGTATTATTGAAGTGACTGGATACTAGCCGATAGTGGCAAAAATGTGATCCTATTAATTAAATACTCTTAGTATTTTTTTTAGTATTTTATTAATCAGGCAACTCATCTCGTAATGGCAATATAGCGTGCCTTTGAGCACCACACTTTTCCCACATCCTGCATAAGCCACCTCAGCTAAGCAAATACATATATATATATTCCAGTAGATAAACTTTTAATAGTACTTAAAAATGTAAAATTTTGTAGTCTTCGCGTCATTGATAACGAGAGTAGACGCTCTGATCAAATTACAACTTTTTAATATAAATAATCATTATTTAAAATTTATCTAAAATTTGAGAATATTTGTAATTTATGTTCCTCACCAACGTAATAACCGGCTTGAGACATCCATCTCATGTATATAATAGTCGGTTGTTCAGGTGATTTTTAATGTTATGATGAAGAAAGATACAGTACTACCTCAATCAAGTAGTTTTATATAGTCCAGCTTTGTACTGGCATCGGTACTTTGGTGATGTAACAATCGAGAATCTAATTGAGCGATTTCTAATTTCTGAATTTTACGGTCAATAAATTTTAAAAAGTACTTTAAATTCAACAACGCTTTTCCTCTTTCTGTCCGAATTAAAATATCTCAAAATGTTAAACGTATTCACCCCACATTGAACTCTCAAATTCAAATTATTTCTGTTATACGTATAAATAAAACAGTGGTTCTGAATATATATAATAAACAAGTTTATCTTAACACGTGTATATTATTAACGATTCTCGATTGATATGTCGTCATAGGTTAAGTAAATGTTGTCGAATTATTTTCAAACTTGTGTTCCGTACGTGAATTGATTTTAATTAAAGAGGACGTGGAGGATTTTTCCTTTTGTGTTGGTAGTCTGAGGCTCATCTCCGGGTGGCCGAAGAATTAGAGTTCTTTGATGTTAATCTTAAGAAGAAAGTCGGTCTACTTTAGTCCAAATACTTTATTATTAATTATTACTTTAATTTTAATCCTAATAATAAACATGAAGTCTGAAGTATTTAGTTGACTCTGGTACATTTGTTTAATTATTTAAATATATTTTTTAGTATTATCTCTAATAGAATAAAACTATATTACGCACACCTAAATTTGCTCAATTCCAAATATAATAGTATAAGTGTTAGTTACAATTTGTTATAATATATCTTCATTTCGTTTCTTTTACGCTCTCTCTGTGCTGATCTTTTATTTAAGTATTCCGAAAATAATTAGAAATTTGGTTAATTACATTTTTCTGAAGACGAAATCTTCGATCGTCCTTTAGCATGACTCTGCTCACTACACAACCACGTCAAAGTCAATATATTGGTTTTTTTTTTTGTTATGTCATATCATCGGCCTTCAAACACACACGGAACAATTCGTAAATTTCCTTGTCTTTGGACTAAACGTAGACTACGAATAGAGGTAATAAAATTATATAAAAAAAATTATATTAGGTAAGTTCGATTTATATTCCGGTTATTCGTAAAATAAGTATACATAAAATAGCAAATGTACGATAAAAAGTACACGGACAAAACTCGCGCATGTGATAACAGAAGTAGTATGTACTGGTCAAGAATGAACAAATGTTCTGAGACTAGGGTAGGTATGTGTTGTGTTCTCTACACTCAAATTCCGTTTTAACTGAATTACTGTCTTGTTTCGATTGCATCTTAATTCCGAGGTGACAATCACCCGCTCTTACCCTCGGTCGGACTTAATTGGAATGAACTGAACGCATTCCGTTTATTCCTTTCAATGTATTCCAATTAAGCTCCCTGAATCGATCAATAATATTTATTATTAATCTGTATGCTTATTGCGAGTTTTTTAACGTTCTCGATAGCGTAAAAGTTAAGCCAATTATGTATACAGTTGGAACAGTACCACTAGCGGCAAACGTACGTAAACGAACCCACTCCATACAAACATGAGCTAACTTTTACGCTATCGAGAACGTTAATAAACTCGCACTAAGCACACTGGTGTGTTCGAAATGAGACGGTAATTGAGTAATGGTGTTGTAAGTAAATCTGTCCTATATACATGTTCTTTCTCTGATCTGTCAGCCCTTTTCTAATGAAATCATTAGTTTGTAAGTTAATTGATAGTGACAAAAATTTAAGGCCGTTGACTTTTCCGGCATTCGTAAATCATAAGAAATATATATGTATTTATATATAAATAAAATTACATATATATTGACTAATATCTCGTAACTATTCACTATGTTTAAATTTAATAATAATTCTACTAGTATGTAGGTTTTAAAGTTTTCGACGATGACTTGATCAGAATTTTCGGACGTGATTATTGAAAGAAAAGCGATTACAACAAACACGCTTTTTATTCGTAATTTTTAATTATAATAAGACTGATGTCGCAAAAACGAATGGTGTATTGAATGTTGTTGGAAAAATAGGCCTGCTAGGTGGAAAAGACGATTATAGTTTATTGAAATATAAAAAAATACGAAGTCGTAATTTGTAATATACATATATAATAATATAATGTACATACATCTATTACCGTGTTCAACTAAGGCTATATACAACGAAAAAATTGAGGGTTTAAATCCAATATCTGTAGGTAAATTAATCAGGCTATGACGGTGCATACATTTAATTAATTGTATCGGAAATTCCTTTTAGCGATCTTCATATGAATTGTAGACAGATCGATCGTGCGGTCATCCTGCCATGCGCAGTGTACGCTGATAGGCCCCATCTCACGCTTCTCTCGGAACTTTGTTCGGCCCGGCTGAAATCGATTTGTCTGGCTCACCCCACAACAACCCCACCCTTCTATTAAACTTATTTGAACACGGTCCTATAATCGGACCTATTTGCTATTCAGTTAAGGACTTTCGAAATTTATATATATTGAAAATTATTTTAATGAAATGACGGTAATTTTGAAAATGTTTTGATTCTTGTGATGTGGATGTGATTCTTAAATTGGTATCATGAAAGAATATCCCGTAGTTATTAAATGTATCCCAGAAAACTTCAGACCCTAAGTATGTGCTGCCTACTTTTAAAACCCCTATTTTCAGTCGAAGGTTATCTTTCAGTGTTCTCTTTTAGCGTTAAGACTGCATATTGTACTTTTGTCGTCTAATAGTTTGTATTTTTTTTTGTGTGCAATAAAGATCTACTCTATAGATATTTATAAGTTAAATGCGGAGTTTTCCATAGATGAGGATAAACCAGTAATATGTATAAGTGCTATAACTAGAACAGACGGTAGACAAAAAACAAATTCTCCTTCAAATGGAGGGCGGCGGCGTAATGTTAATGCTCGCACTAATGCCCATATGTTCAAAGACGGCAGTGACCACTTTTCATCTAGTCAACCGCGAGCGCGTTCGTCTGTTTCGGCCATGACATATGTATAATAATCAAGATTGAAACGCCAAGAGCAGCCATTTTTATTGCAGGATTGTCTTCATTTTATGGAGCGCCGCTTATACCAATCGAATTAATCGTTAAGACAGATAAAGTCATAAAACTTGGTCTCTATATTCGATGTGTTTTTATTACTATTAGTATTTAAGAATTCAGGGGCATTTAATGTTTTATTATTATGTTTTAGTATTTAGATAGTTCGGGGTTCAAAGAACCATGATGAAGAATCAATTAAAAACTAAATACCTATTTATTTTCTGTCTACCGGGGAGTGGCAATTAAGTATTATGTTCAAACATTAAAGTTTCGATATAATGGTTTTTTAACCTTCCGGAGTAATAAGTACTCTTCAATTACTCACTAATTTTTTTGGCACTCCCTAAGTTTTACCAAAAAAGACGATGTTTTTCAAATTGTATCATTTAATGTATCCAAATATGGTGGTGGTGATGTAACTGGATTGCTGTATTAGAAACTTAATAAATATTTCTGTCTAATAAACAAGAATTTTATTTCCGTACGTATTATACATTTTATAGATGTTGTTTTTATGTATGCGTGACATGTTCGTAGTTGTACCGCGTGCAGAAGGGAGAATATGATCACGTGGACTGATTGAAAAACGGTCGATACTAATATTATAAATCTGAAAGTGTGTTTGTTTATCCTTCTTTCTAATCGAAACGAAGCAACGGATTAACATTGTTTTTTTAAAGTGATAGTTTTAGGTCAAGAGAGTGACATATGTGTAATAGTAATAGAGTGACTAACTACCTTTTATTTCGAAAAAAAATCTCATTTCCACACGAAGCTGATTTAATGTTTTTAGAAAAACTACATGAAATACGCGGGCGAAGTTGCGGGTAGCAGTCAGTTTTCATATAAATTGACTCATCGATGCGAATTGCCTTTGATTGTTGGTTAAACGATTGAAGAAATTGCACATTGTCGCAAATTAGTAATCGTGTGCATTCATAACGCATGCAAAACGAACATGAAGTATCGAACAGGGAATTCTTATACAATACTAGCTGTACCCGTCCGCTTCGCTGGGCATTTAAAATTAACATTATTATTTATCACCCCCACAAAGATTCTCATCATTAAAGCCTCCGCAACTGGTGTAGGGAGTCCAACACTCATATAAATATTAGCCTATCCATTAAGTGCATGTATTTTCTACATGGATACCAAGTTTCAAGTCAATCGCATGCATGGTTCAGTAGTTATAACGGAACATCCGTAAAAACCACTGTAGATTTATATAATTATAGATAGATGGCAAATGTGAAAAAGTTTTCAAATTAAATTTTTTAATTTCTCACATTTTAAAAAGGACAGCATTTTATGTTTTTAAACTAAAATATCAATTGAGTAGTGATTTATTTTCGAATAAAACAAATATAGCAAAACTGTTGACGCAAGGTTGTTCGATATTTCTACAGGAGGCGACTGATTGTACCATCCGGGCAACCAGTACTATCAAAGTTTACGATGTGAATTAGGGATACAAGTAATAGCACTCATTTATTTCTAAGATGGGTGTACGAGCGCACGGACAGCTTGGTGTGGTTATTGCTGAAGCATAGTTATAACAACTTTATACAATGTTCATAGAAGGGCATAAGGTGGAAGATTGAATTATATTATTTAAATTCACAGGATATAGTTTCAACCTGTAGATCTAATTCGTAGCACCCTAGTTTCTACCTATACTTCTAGTTTGTAGAAAATGTCCATTGATAGCGCAGTGGTAGCGTAGACCAAGCAAATATTAATCTTCATTAATTCCTAGATATTTAACATTATGGAGTTACAATTGATAAAAATCAATGTAGAATAACAGACTAGCTAGAAGTATAAAATGCGTGATGTATGTTATAGGACGATTCCTTGAGTAAAAGTAGTTCCTATAAATTAGTTAAGAAATTTAAGATTTTATTTATTTGAAACTTCTCTAAATCAGAGAATCCGTTTTCAAAAATGGTTTTAAAAACCTTTGTCTGGCTTAAAACTAAAAAGTTTTCGTTTGCGCGTTTTATGAAATTCTAAATTCATAATAAATTAACAATTATAGTCGTGGAAATACTTAAAAATCTAGTCATTTTACGAAATTGAAAACCCGCTACACGCTAGCGGTTAATCATTTATCCTTATAATGCGAATCGAGACCTTTGATCCCCTTTGATACGTATAGTATACTTATATAAGTACCGTTAGGTCGTATCGACCCGTCTGGGCGGATATCTTGTTTAGTCTAGACAGTAGACACAATGATGCCTATTTATAGATTGAATTTCGTAGTGGCACATTATCGGCCGGCGTATGAGGACGGTACTTTAATATACTCTAGACATAGCAACGTATGTATTTTAAGATTCTAAAACTCTGTTGGTATACAACGGTTGTTTTGGAACTTTATATCTTACGTTAGTGATTTTTTTTCTCGGAAACGATGTTGTTATTTTCAAAATAGATTGTCGTTTCGGGATATTTGATGCGAATGCAATATCGAGGGGTGTAAGTCTATTTGGTTTAAGCGACATTTCGCTTAATACGCAATGCTTAACTTTGTAATTAAATGTGCGTTTTATTTAGTATATTAGCATCAACAGTTCGACGTTTTTAATTGAACTTTAATTAAGATTGCTCCTCCATTCAAATAGCCGAAGAAGTTTTTTTGGTCTGATATTGAATGATTGAATTTTTAAACTTTTATACCTCTCTTGTATAGTTGCAAGGTTGTCCCTTAAACCAAATTGCCTTTCACCCTTCGATATATAGAAAACAGGCTTGAAAATGAGTTTCGTTCGTAATAAGCAATTTTAATGTGCGGGTATGACATGAATCATAACATTTCTGGAATCACTGTATAAATATACGAATCGTAAAAAGAAAATACATATTTTCAGTTTATATCTCAGAATACCGAATACCGTTGCGGCTAGGGCGGTGTTCGAATCCTGTAGATAGGCCCCATTTTAATACGCTTTTATTAGCTTCAGACGTATGTATGTATGTTTGTAACGGAATCTTTGAACATGATTTTTTCTTCTAATGAAATACGTACATAACAAATTTACACGTCAGAATGCTACAATAGAGGAATCAAATTTTGTAATAAGAATTAAATCTCCAAAATATATAACTGGCGTAATCACTATACAATTGAGACTTCTGCTAGACTTAAGTCTGAAGGAGTGTGGCATTCACGTTGTTAATGGATTCCGGTGGTCACTTAACACCAATCGGGCCATTACTTCGTTCAATTGTCTACGCAATAAATTAATTAAAAAACTTTTTACGTACATACTTTTTATCAAGAAACCTCTCAATCCGGGCGTTTGGGCTTTTAATATGGGATGTCTTCAGAAAAGTTCTCGGTCCTCAAGAAAGCGTGTTCAGCAACCATTTCTTTTATTGCTTTACATGGGTGGACGAGCTTACAGCTCACCTGATGTTAAGTGGTCACCGGAGTCCATAGACATGTACAATGTAAATGCGCCATCCCCCTTGAGATATAAGTTCTAAGGTCTCAGTATAGTTACAACGGCGGCCCCATCCTTTAAACCGAAACGCGTTACTGCTTCACGGCAGAAATAGGCAGGGTGGTGGTACCCAACCGTGCGCATTCACAAAAGGTCCTACCACCAACATTTACACCATTATCAAATTAAGTTCAACATGTAATAATATAACATCACTTTTGGACTTCGAATAAGTTCATACCACTAAGGCACTAAGCGGACTGAATTATTTCATTTTCACAACATAATGAATACACATTTGGTGAAAAAACTTACAGCCTCTTTTTTTTTATTTATTAAAGAGTTATTAAATAAAACGGCAATTTATAAAATACACATTAATATTTTAATAGTGTACAGGGTCAATCTAAGCTTCGATACAGACAATAGAAATAATTCACGACGATCCATTTTCTGGTAACGGAAAGAAATTGAACAATCATTAATAGTATTACAATAAAATAAAAAATTCGTTACATTGAAAACTTTGTCACATACATAGATTTAATTTAATCATCACATTAATATTTTTCTCTATTTATCTCATTTACGTAACAAACTAACATCGATACTGTGATTTTTAAGGATTTTTTTTGTAACATCAATGCGGTAAATTTTATTTATATTCGATAGTGTGATTAAAACGTTATTAACAACTACTATTATAGTAACAAAAATATAGAATTATGAGCTTGGCCCGTCATAGTCTTGATGCTTGACGCATTTATGTTTATCAGATCACAATGCAATTTAGGCGTTACGGTGGAGACAAGTGTGCTTAGTGCGAGTTTTTTAACGTTCTCGATATCGTGAAAGTTACCTCATATTTGTATGGAATGGGTTCGTTTGCGTACGTTTGCCGCTAGGGGCTCTGTTCCAACTGCATACAAAATTAGGTTAACTTTTACGCTATCGAGAACGTTAAGAAACTCGCACTAAGCACACAGGTGGCCAGAGCTTTACGGTATAGCGCCAATTATTATAATTATCAACTCTTTTACTAATTTATTTACAGTGAACACTTTAAAAATAATAGACATCCTAGTGAACTTCTTCAGCTGCTGTCGCATTCTTAATCGCGTAGTGCCACTTCAGTCGGGTGTAGGCAGCCTTCCGTGTTGTGCATCAACATTTCTAAACACCCGAAAATTTTTCGGAAATAAACCTATTGTACAGACAACGAACATCAAAGACACATGCATTTTTTTTCCTAGACATATTTTCTTTATTCAACATTTAGTGAAAGTAAAACACTAATATTATCGTGATACATTTCAACACCAAGTTTCTGTATATTCCCCCATCTTAAAGATCACAATCCTTTACAATCTCCACGAAATTGTATTTTAATAATATGTATTATACGGGTAAATAATTATCAAATAATATTCATTGTGATACAATAAATTCCATTAACATCTAACATTTTTAAATTATTATGATGCGAATAATAAAAGTTGCTTCTCACCAATAAATAATAAAATATTGGATGCAATGTAGGTAACTAGTCGAAACTGGTTATATTTATAGACTATGAATTTTTTGACAACTTCTGTTAAATATCGTCAAAGCTGAGTTAGGCGTTGCCACTTGTACAGTTGACAAGAATTATTCTAAACAAATGTAACGCATCATAGATTTCATAAACCAATGATCAATGCAAAACCTTAACACTAATCTTGATAGAAAAATAGTGGCAACACTAATATTTGTCGCTTTAGGAAAGAACATGTGATTTTTTTTTTAATGCATAAATTCAATGTCCATCGCCTAGAACCGTGAATTAAACATATCATTTGAAACACGATCGTATTGATACTTAAATTTAATTAATGAATATGATTTCAATACTTCACTCTTTCCGGTAAACATATTATTATTATTTGGATAAAAAAAATTGTATTATTCGACACAAAAAAAAAGCAATTTCAAATGCATCAAGTTTGTAGCGCAAATAAATTAAAAAATAATAATCTAGATTCATTTCGGCTATTCATAAAAACAATACGAATAAAAAGAAGTTTACACACTTATAAAAATCACTTTCGATCGATATCACTCGATTTAAAAAAATTCACGTTCATTCTCTTCGGTATATAATAACCAACCAAACGTTCTATTGTTATTAGTAAAAAATGTCATTTAAATAAGAATTTTGACGACAAAAATATAAAAATATACTGGAGTGAATTTTTTTATCGGACTAAAAAAGGTCGAATTTTTCACACTAGTTAGTATTTCAGCATCGGCGTCCAAGCGGCTTTAAGCAGTCCGAAACAACGTCGACATAAAATATAATCATTTTTTCTAAACTTAACAATGGTACATTGGACAAATAAACAAAAAAAACAAATACACAAAAAATCTGAGATCCAATGCCAGACTTCCAGTGAAGCCAACCGGTACTGAACCACCACTCCAATTGTGTTTGCTAGACTATATTCATAATTAAAAACAAAAACGAATGGATTTAGTTAGTTGCATACGCTAAAATGCCTACAGGTCTGTCAAAACAAACGGTGAACATTTACCACAAACAAAAACAGCATACTCAGTAACTAAAACATATAAAACCGTTTAACTTAAATGTCATAAAATTATAGATATCGAAAGAAAGTGTTGCGTCAGTTTCATAAAATGTATATTTGATCTAAAAATACAGGCTCTACAAGCATACATACATAAGCGGAAAAAAATAATTAAATAAAAATATCATTTCCATTTGTTTTCTTACATCGTAAACGTGATATGAGAGCCTTTCGTGAATGGGTTTAAGTTTAAAATTCTATAATCGCTTGAACATAAGCCAAATTGCGTATAATAAAAACCAATGTTGACTTTTGTACAGCGAACAGAAAATAAACTTATGGTGATAATCATTTGATGATGAATGTTACTATAATTTTGTTAGTCCCCCAGTGCAGGCGAATTTAAGATCCGAACTTGAATGTCGTTGGCACCTGAGCTGGCACCGTGAACGAGTAACCTGCAACAAATTATTTACTTAGTTGTATTGAACCCCTATACAAAAAACCTATGGGAATCCGTATAAATTAATTTTCTTATTTCTATTTTTAATTGATGATATTGAAATGGTAATTTTAATATCATTTCAATGACTCTGTTACACGTATGTACTGGTTTCTAAAATAAATAATTTTAATTTTAATAAAAACTCCATCATCGGGAGTTTTATCAATCAATTCAATTAATTTATTTTGTTGTTTGATATTTGAATTAATTAATATATTTACTGACTGAATAATATTTGCACGTCCACCTGATAGAAACACGCTGTTCTAATAACTATCAACAAATTTGTAAGCCGTGTTTTAGCTAATAAAGTTTGATTGATTGTTCGATACAAGTATTCGGGAAGAATCAGCCTTGTTTTCACACACAGACAATCACATGCCTAATGTAAGCTTCCAATACATATATGCCGGGGAAGATAGTGGCTGTAATGGTAGTAGTAATAGCAGCTTAGTATTTTTTTTTCATACCTTACTCATCAAAACCTCAATCTTAAGTATGCAATAAAGTGATCCTTTAAAGTGATTCCTTTGTGCGAATGTGTGCTCTTATTAAACTTGTACATAAGATAAATAATAAAGTGATTGTTACCTCCACTCTGTTCAATGCGTCTGCTGTCCATCTGGGCCTTACGCTGGTCAGCGAGCACAAACACAGCACTCAGTTGCTTCTTTTGGTCTTCACTGAGCACACTAGTTAATGCGTGATACAAAGCAGGCTCGGTGCTCGATAAAGCTGTATAAATAAATAACACAAGTTAAATTAAAGCAGTAAATTTAAAGACTCACTTAAAAAAGAGTATCAAAGCTTAATTCTTAAATTTTTTAAATAGAATATCTAACATGACTTTAAAGTTTTAAGCAGTTTAAAGACGTATCTTGTGATGGGCTTTGATAATTAGAAATATATTGGAATTTGCAAAGTTCTTGGTCTCTTTAGGACCCTAAACAAAACGCGTCTGCCTATCTTCTTGTATAAAGTTGTAAATAATCATAATAATTTACAACTATGAACCAAATCCAATTTTAAAACTTTAGGTCAGTATATTATCTTCATGGATCCCACAGCCTTAAATGACCGTGATTGAAAAGTGGTTACCTGAACTCAGACATCACATTATTAATTTTGCCACTTTGAGACTAGTGAGGTCTAGTGTCTCAATATTTAATATTTACGACTGCAATGGCATGCTTCAGTGTGAGACGGGCGGCTTATAACATTACATTTAAATACATACCGGAGAGCGTGGTCTTGAATTTAACGTACTCATCGACAGGACAGTCCCTGTCGTCGAGGGGTGTTGTGTAGCATTCAATGGCAGCATCCTCCGGTTCGTAGTCGTCATCGTCCTGCAATACAAACAAATAAAATTGAATACCATTTTCTATTTCATATGTACATATTGCATAGATAGGTGAACAAACTTATGGCCTAGCTCGAGTTAAGCTGTAGTTAAAGAGTTAAACTGTAGATTTACACATAATTTTTTTATGATTTCATTTTTGTCTTCACTTGATAAAAATACATAAATAATTCAAAATCCCTCGTTATTATTAAAAATTTAATAAAAAAAACGCAAGATTAGTTTAATATCTATTATATATTTTAAAATAATATTTTACCTATCCTATAAATGAAAATAAAAAAGTATTCATGATATTTTGTAAGTAACACGTATTATTTTTTATTGCATAGATGTGTGGACGAGCTCACCACAGCCCACCTGGTGTTAAGTGGTTACCGGAGCCAATAGACATCTAAAACGTAAATGCCGCCACCCATCTCGAGATACAAGTTTTAAGGTCTCAGTATAGTTACAACGGCTGCCCCAGTCTTCAATCCGAAACGCATTACTGCTTCACGGCAGAAACGGGTAGGGTGGTGAGTATAAGGTGGTTTAACGAAAAACGAATTTGTTTTCCCGAGTTCATGTTTACATTACATTTGTAATAACACTTTTGAATTATCATCACATTCATAAGAAGACCATTATGGTGAAACAAAATCATATTAATACAGAGCCAGGTACAGATAAAGTGACTGTAAAGCAAAATAAACTTCTTATTTTGTAAGAAACAATAACTTCTCTGTCTAATTTAATATACATTTAATTCTACAGTGCACGGGCTACAGAATAACTACGGTTGAGGAGAAACATAACGCACTTAGGCAGACTGGTATTTAAATATGTATAAAATGCGAAAAACGATATGTGAGTATTACTAATATGTTTTAATTTCATTATAAGTTTGCTAGACTGCATTGTCAGTATTTGTCAACTTTTATTTTCAAAGCAAATTCAATAATTATTGTTTTCAATCATTCGACTTCGGTCGCTTTTATGAGGCGAGAAATTAAAAGTAACCAAATCTGTTTGTGAATAATTGGCACTAGTATTACATATGGCATATACCAATGGTCAGAAAGTCATGTTTTCCCTTGCAATGAATAATTCATGCACTGGAAACAAATAGTTTACAAAACGTTTTAAGCCTTTATTAATTACACATTGTTTTCTTTATCTATACTAATATATAAATCTTTAGTGGTTTTTACGGATGTTCTGTTATAACTACTGAACCATGCATCCGATTGACTTGAAACTTGGTATCCATGTAGAAAATACGTGTACTTAATGGATAGGCTAATATTTATATAAGTGTTGGACTCCCTACACCAGTTGCGAGGGCGTTAATGATGAGAATCTTTGGGGGGATGAGAAATAATAATTTTAATTTTAAATGCCCAGCGAAGCGGTCGGGTACAGCTAGTACTGTATATTATTATATACTATGTACACATGTGATTCATATTATATGATGTTGCCGTAGTCATAATCTTGAAGGGGTTAATAATATACAGGGAATGTTCGTTAGTGCATCTACAATCTACACCATGCAATAATGCACACAGAATTGTTAATTGTTAGTAGTTCCGATGTATGTACCAATTGACTCACGTCATCGCTGTCATAGTAATCTTCAATTTTGGCAGTCATCTCGACACCCTGCTGATTGCTAGTTTTTACTGCCATGCGGGCGAGCGTTTCCAGGTACTCGTGGCTCATTTCCTGGATGTCGTCTTCGTCACTCGACAAGGTCTCTATATTAAAAACAGTACAATTAAAAAAGATAGTGTTACTAATCGTCGTAATAAAGTGAAGTCGTCGGGCCTATGAGATAAGACGCCCAGTGCATTCGTATCCAGCGATACGATGGTGCCGGCGTTTGAAACCAATGTTCCTGATAAAATACGTACTTACAATACAACAGATGTTCACGAAATACTTCCACGGCGAAGGATTACTATCATGTAATAAAAATCAAACCCGCAAATATTATAATATGCATAATTACTAGTGGTAGAGGGTATTGTGGGCTCGCACGGGTAGGTACCACCACTCCGTCGTTTTCTGCCGTGAAGCAGTGATGCGTTTCGGTTTGAAGATGGGGCAGTCGTTGTACTGTAAAAACTGAGACATAGAACTCATGTCTCAAGGTGAATGAATGGTGACAAAAAGTTGTTGATGTCTATAATCTCTGGTGACCACTTAACACCAAGTGAGCCATGAACTCGTTTACTCATCTTAACAATTAAAAAAATCAAGTTCCGGGATATGTTTTATGCAGCTTACTTATAGTGAAAATCTCTTAATTTCATTGAATGTGAGTAGACAGGTTCGGAAAACATTTGACTAAAACAAATGTATCTTTCTACCTTGGCATATAATATTGAGGTCACAATTGCGATACACACTAATCCATACAAGTGTTGATGAACTAATAAATTATCTACTCACCTTCATCAAGATCCTGGTCATCTTCCTCTGAAGATGAATCATCATCAGCCTCGGCTCGGCTTTCGTAAGCTCGTTTCAAACCATCAAACAGCACCAAACAGGACGGCAGCAGCTTAGGAATGAACTCATCTAGGTTGGGTCGCTGAGGGCCCATGTCCAGTAGTGTGCAAATGCCGAGCACGCAAAGTTTTCTGTCATGAAGCCTGAAGGAAACACTCGTTATTATCTGTTTTCGTCATTATTATTTTTTACATTTAGAGCACCTACACTTAGTAACTTGTGTCGCGTGAATGCAGCATAGTTATAATAAATCAAAGTGAAATTGAAATTATTATCCTACAATTACGATGTTAATAATTCAAATTAAACGACATTAGCGCGATTGCTGTAATCGTGCGACACATAGAGACTAATTTTAAGGTATATACCAAGTAAGATTACAACATCAATAATCAAATACTTTACATTTTTTTGTACCTTTGCATGTATTTAACTGTTTTACAGGGGCTCTTAATCTGAAAACTAGTTATCTCCATTCTCTAGCTCTTTAATTCATAACTTTCTACCGAAATAAATGCCTTCAGTTGTCAACTGGCTTTTTTTGATAGCTGTTAGTAGCTTTCTTATTTCCTTGCTGTTTCAAGTATTTGACACTAAATAAACACATATATTAAAGTGTTATTTGCCAATTTAAAATGTGGATGTTTTCTGTTCAACAATAAATTGCAGGAATGGTTTCAAGTAACTTCCTCCATTACCACTATTCAAAGTATTCTTGATATCTTACTAGTTTGAACTTGGTAAAGGAACTATTTGATAATAATAATTAAAACTGAGTCAACATTCATATTTATTTTATATTAATTTATTTTAAGTTCATTAGTAAATTGTAAAATCTCATAAGATTTCATATTATTGTTTATTTAATAGGCACAAACAAGACAACTGGCAACAGCAAATAATAACAAACATAACAACAAACTTTATCAATATATTAACTACTCATAAAGTTTATGTGAACAGTGACAAATAAAGTATATGAAAGACTACTAATAAATTCATCAAAATAAATCGAGCCAAAGGCGCGTAGAGACAGTTCCGTAGAATTGCGATTTCCGTGGGAAGTTTTAAAACCTTAAATTTTTCTAATGCCTAATCAGTTAGCAATTTCAAAAAACGGAGGGAGCTTGACGTATTCTTAAAATATTGTTTCATAATGAATCCTATTGTTAAATACATGTAAAGTCTACGTTCTAAATAAACCAACTTTTATTAAAGCAGAAACAACCAAACAGCCTACTGACATACAAATATAGTGAAAAATATATTCCTTGATAGCTGATGAAATGAGATAATGCCCTTTTCACAACCTTCCGATAAAATATATTGTTGTATGAGAACTTATAAAAAAAATAAGGTTCCAATTTTAATTTAAGGAAATGCTGCATGCTGTACTTTGTGTAAACATACTTATGAAGTGTCAAAGGCTATTTACTGTATTTACATTTTTTTTCAGATCTTAACCAGGATGTGAAATGGGCACTTATATGTTTTCTTTAATGAAATGGATGATGATGATTTTTCTCATCAAGTAATGAATGGAAACTACCTGTAAAAAGGACCATATCTGTAGCATGAAGCAGAAAAAAATATCTCAGTATAAAATCACCTTAGATATATTGCGTATAAGTATTGCAGTATCTCTCCAGTCATTTTGCTATTTGATTAGAATGTCTTTTAAGCATTATTTAAAAAAAACATATTGTCTTTTAAATTTTCGATAAAATAATTTGTGTAACTTGAATCGTAATTATATAGAGGAATATAGTAAGATAGAAAATTTGTGCAAGATTTTGGTTACACAATCGAAATTGTAAAATGTGTCTATCGCAATGGACATTGATAACCTAAGAGTGATCGTTAACCTTTTCGCTACGGCAGACAGCGTTTTGTGGCCGTAGTAGTAGCGTAAGGGTTAAAGGTTTCTTTTTTGTAATTTCGATTTGCTAGAGTAGTTGAGACCAACTTGCGATTTTGAAAGATGGCCTTAACAAAACTTTTACAAGTACCTAACTGTAATTATGGACACATTCACATCAACATAGTAGCACTCCTGATACTTTCCATTAAGTATTGCAATTTTATTGTTTCAGAAATGAATACACAATAACAAAAAAATATTAATTATACTATTTCCTAAAAGCCAATACAATCTATGTTGTTCAAACAAATTCTAATAATTGCATGATTTTAAAAATTTCAATTGCATTGGCTGGTCATACTTTTTCATTATAAGCAAGTAAATCATCCACAATTGGCTGGAAATATCGCCAAACATGAAATAGACATTTTGTTGATGGTGCAATAAAAAAAATCCCAGAACTGTTTTTTCCCCTACCTATTCACTAGTAAAGGGCTATTCCAGCTTCTCACAGAGGGGTGGGTGAGATCAGGGGCTCAACGTCAGAGAATTTAATTACACTAAGCCTAGCAAGAGTAGTGCTTTGCAGAATATACCACTGGGTTGAAATCATAACCCACTGTGAAGGGCTTTGTTTATGGGTTACTTCACTCTATTTTACAAATAGCAAACATTTAAATAAGTTATTTGAAATAAATAAATCAAGTGTGTAATGTAATATTTTTACCATGTGCCTCTTTCGCTCATTTTAATTTTAATATAATATTTAATAAAATTAAGTGTTCATGAAATTAATTGACATTATACTTTTTTGTATTTTTGGTTTTCATATAAAATGTTTAATTTTTGAGTAAGTTCAATCAAATGAGATGCGTATTTTAATAATCCATGATCTAATTGGAAAAAAAGAACAACAAACCAGTTCGCAACGAATCTGCGTATCTGAAATCGTAATGCTGTATTGCTCAGCTGGCAAATTGATGGATGGCATAATTGTCAGTTCAATTTGTTTGAGTTTTAACGCCTGTCTAAGCACTGAACAGTGGTATTGACATCATGGACCAGGGTACAGTACAGTTAGTAATAAAATATATTTCCCACCACTGGTTATAATCTTGAAATTGATCAAGACCCAAATGTTGTAGCTTTTATAAAACAAATATGATTTGCTTCTACATATTATTTTTATCATATTATATTATTTATTTATTTTATATTTTTAAACTATTTTGAATTTTATAATTTACTTACATCAGCCATTTGTATAACTGAATCATTTCTCAGACACTACATGTTTTAGAAAAAATGCCAGTGAGTATGTATATAAATGCTATTTTGCAAACAATAATAAAAAGCTACAATTGATATGGTTTTTGGATCTTATAATTCTATGAAGGTTACAAATGAAAGGTACACTTACCCCATGAAACAGTCAGTATCGTGGATCCATTGTTTTATGAAATGCTGGGTAATGGACGCATTAGGCACCGCCTCCTGAAGCTTGTCCAGGATAGAAAACAGCAATTGAGGATTGCTGTACAGGATAGCTATGAGGACCTGTTTCAAGTGAATGTTAATGTTTCAGTCAATTGTTCTTTGTTTAATTGTTAAAAGTATAAAAGTTTCGAGTATAAGATCTATGCAGTGGTATGGGCATATCTAAGTACACACACCCACACACATATACCAAATAATGAATATTTTTAATGAAAATAATGAACAAGAAATTGAACATGAACTATGTGATGAAGTTCTTTGGATTCTTAACTAGGTCATCTAAGGCAATATATCAAATCTTAATATTTGATTTATTACCTGAAGCAGCATGGTCCTGAGTTCAGAGGTCTTTACTTTTCTCGTCAACCTATTGAGTACAAGCTCCACAAATGATGGTAGACAATTATCTATCTTCCCAGCGCACTGAAGCACCATGACTTCCAGTAATTTCGCTGCATATATCTCCGATTCGTCTTCGGCATCGGAGTTCAGCACCTGAATCAAAGAAAAATAGAATTTTATTTGCATTCTGAAAGGACTAAATGACTTGGAGGACTTGATTTACCACTTTTGCACATGCTTGACATCGCTGAGCTAAGATATCATAAATACGCTAAGCTTTTAAAATGAGAAGAGAATCTAAGTTATACAGTAAAATATATCAGCCACAATATATTTGTGTCATAATCTAGTTTTAGAGTTTCCAGATGTAAAATAATTTACTCATATTTTTTTGATAAAAAAGATAACAGCACAAGCAAGCACAAACAAGGAAGTTGTATGATATTATGAGCTAGCATATAATATGGTAAATTGTAATGAACTGAAATAAACCTAGGTTAATAGCAAGTTACTATAAAAATCATGTATAATTTACAGAGCAGCATAAATCTTTTCGCAAAATTTTCGCTTAGCATTTAGTAAGAATAAAGACTATAATTTTTTTAAATTGAATTTAGGTCTCTGTCTCAATTTTGGGTTATTTTTAATTTTAGATCATTGGTATTAAGTAGAGAATATTTAGTTTATATTAATTCTGATATAAAACATTCTAAATGTAAATAGACAAGTGAGACTGTTTCATGTCAAAGTTGTTTTCTGAGATGTTAGGTCGCTTTGCTTTGAAAACCAGCTGGTTTTGTTGTTGTTATGATCAGACTGCACAGCCAGAATGTTTTCTTAATTTTAATAAAGTGTGAGAAATTAACAGTATTTAGTTCATCAGCAATTTTAATTTTTAATATTCTGTTGTAATAAATATAATTTTACTTGCGAGTCAAATCTTTTAAATGCTACAACCGTAACAAATGAATAAAGTTCTCTTAAAACTTCTTATGATATTTTAGTACACACACAGTACTTCACAGCTAGCAGTTTCTAGAACATCTTACTAGTAAAATTTTATATGATAGTAATTTAATTTTCCTAAGATCGCTAAGCACAAAATTCATGTTTGTACAAACTAAATTTTAAAAAGCAGATAAACAGTAACATACCGCTTTGACCATGTTAAACATGGCTAGTATGTGATTCTCATTGGACAGGAAGGCATTGGTATCAACTGTTACATAGTTGTGCAATACGGGCATCATGTCTGTAAAGTAGTCAAACCCTTCCTTCTCAAAGACTTGGTACAACAATTCTAAGACCTTCCACATGTCTTCAGATATGCTTTTAGCTGTTAGATTGCATAGTAAAGTCATGGCTTCTTCATAATATTCTGAAATATTGATAATTTTGAAATTAGTACAAATTCCAATTTACAGTTTCAAAATATTTTAGTTACTTTTAAGATTCTAACCAATAATGTTGTGATGAAGGATGTGTCCAACTACACGTAGGACAGTTTTTTCGAGTTGTGCCATGATCTCCGGGTTATCTTCCATTACGTTTAGTACAGTCTCCATAGTTGTAAGGAGGCCCATTGCTGTGATGGCCTTTTCATCGGTGCCTGCATCGGTCTCAATTACCTTACTGAATGTGGTAGCAAGGTGGTCTGTTATCTCAAAAGCCATTGGCATTAGCTGCTCAGTATACATTGGCACGATCTTTTGCAACACATTAGCAATATGGTCGTTCTCAGTCTCACGGATAACCTTCAGTAGTTCTGATGTTACTTCCTTAACTTGAGGTTCGAGGATCTTATGGACCTTTTCCTGTGATGTTAATAGCATCTGTACTGCTATAGCCGCTTCTACTTTGACAGGTAAATCAGTATCGTTCAACAAAGAATCGACTGTAAGGCGAACAGCCTCAAACAAAAGCTGCTCGCTCTTGAAGCGAATGCTCGCAAAGCAATGTAATACCCAGCAACCTCTGGCTCGCATATAACCCAGTGGGCTATGGAACTCAGGGAAGACATACATGCTAAGGAGGGAATCAATCTCGTCCTTGTAAAACTTCTTTTTGACAAGGATTTCATTCAGAGTGCCGACCATGTGAAGCGCACCATCACGCTGCCTCGGACCATACTCTCCATTCTGGCAGGTTAGTATCTGCATACAAAGTTGCATAGTCCGTTCGAGCATTCCCTTTCGCTTCTTGCAAGAGGAAATGAGCAAAGACTGTGCTGCTGTTACAGGAGAAACATAGTCCTCGAAAATATCTATAAATTTAAACAATAAAAACCATTAGGGTATGTTACAATATTTTTTTAAATAATAACATTTATTACATATATAAAGAAGTACCGAATTTGATGCGTATGTATTCATGAGGATCATTTTCCCAGAGGTCTTCGTCATTTTCAGAATAAGACATCAGGGGGAACAGAACATCTTGTATGATGGCGAACATGTGCGGCTTCAGTAACTTCCAAGAGTGTGAGTGGACTACGCTGTTTAAGGAAAGCAAACATTAAGCTCATTTTCGTAAAACCAAACTATGGACCTTTTACTTCAACATACTGCTAAAATAATCTCGAAAGAGGTTACTGGGAATAGCTATGAATCCTAGAGTACCATAATTTAAAAATATTACTTCTTTATCTGCCAATATGACAGTTTTATTTATATTGTCATATTTCAAAGTAGCCAAGCGTAACGTTTTATCTATGACAGGGTAGGCTTTTGCGCCATGGTAGTTTAAGCAGTAAAGGCTCCTTATTCGAGTTTCACGAACGAGGATTAAAAAAAATGCAACCCGCCGTTTCTGTTTTCGCGTCATATTTACGGAAAATATGGAAAATATGCTCCACGAATAAAGAGCTTTTACTGTGTAATGCAACATGCAGCACTCCAGTATCATGTTAATAGGCAATATTGGTATATCGACTTTGTATAAATAAAGAGCCTTGCATTAGAATTCTTAAAACTTAAATAACACTCTGTTCGTGAGTCATGAATAGATAAGAATCCGTCTATATTACTTTTAATAAGAATCGAATTTCTTTCAAAGAGAAATATGTACTTAAGCCTCGTGGTACTTTATAAACTCAGTTGGAATGTGGACTCTCGGGACTATGAAATAAACTCTAGTTTCGCGGGCTTTCTGTAAAAACATAAAAGTACCGGCGAGATGGTCAGCTATCGATATATTTATAATCAATTGGGTATTATGTTTCAATAACCCAAACAGTTGACAGTGTAAGTTCATTACAAAAAAAAAATTGCGTTTGCTTTTCATCATATTTTGTCGTCATAAGAACAAGGGCTAATTACTTCAAATCGATAACAATGTCATACTAACGGCTAACCTTGAAAAGAATATTTAAACAGACACATTGTGATTATACCGAATCTAGTATAACACCAATGTTTTTCCAACTACGTGGTTGATATACTTCGATTTGTGACTGTCGGTATATTGCAATGCCAGTAAAATTAGAAACGACTCCATTCTTCACTAACGACCTCTGACGTCACATCAAATAGTTGACAATTTCATGTAGATAATTTGATTGCATTTGCGAAGTTTCAGGCCTAACGCAGTTAATATGTAATTATAGATATCAACTTTTTGAGAGAGAAAAAGTCACCAATGTATGGATTCCTGTATTATTTTGTTTGCCTGTACGGCGTCTAGACTATAATTATTTGATAAATTATTCAATAAAATCATACCTATGCATCTATAAAATATTAGAACAATAACAACTTGAAACCACGAATAGTGGACTTTATGTTGATTGGGATTGGAATTGACTACCGTGAGACTGCTATTACCAGAGTATTATTACGTTACTTTAGATCATAGTACAATTATCATTTTTTTTTCGTTCCTTGAAGTCTCGAATAATTTAAATATTACATGACATCATCGGTCCATTATGGTGACATTGCAAATGGGTAATAGGGTATCTGGGCGTGGAGAGTTCTTGTAATGTCTTTCTGATTCGAAATTGTATGATACTAGTTTAGTTTTCTTCACCTTTTTCATGTTACCTTCAAACTATGTACGTCTCTGAGGGAAACATGATGGAACGTTTTTTCGTAAGGAAGGTTCGAGATAAAATCTCCTGCTATGGACGGTTGCTGATATTGCTCGTAAATGTTTTATTTTAGAAGATTGAACCTTCGCTATACAATTTGTAAATAATAAAGATTTCTTCCCGGAGTTCACACCAATACAGAGAATAAAAGACGGCGGATGTGACCTGCCTGATTTTGTTTGATAATGTTTCTATCACAGCAATAAGGAACGTAGGAGGCAGGCATGGCAACATTTGTAGATGCAACTTTGGATCTAGGTATCAATCTATTGGAAATGGTTTATGTTTTGAGCGATCAAATTGTTTGGTGCAAATCTGAGCACGTTAGGACCGAATCTGTCGTATTCCAAGTATATGCTCGCCTATTCGTCCTGATGAAGCTAGAAAGGTCACCAAGCTAGAAGAAATCCCTACATTAAAAAGTCGGTTGAAGCATTTGAAGCTACAGGTCGGTCACTGATGACATCCATTTTATTTAGAGCTACATAGAAATAAATAATAGTTTAAAAATTCTAACAAAATACGCTATTATAGAAAACCCAACTAAAAAATAGTGGTACATGGTATCAGTAGTTATAAATAGTTTATGAACAATATGAATAGAAGGGTTATTTTCATAATATCCTGAAAAGCACCTCACGCTTTTTTACAATAAAATCATTTTTTCTTAGACTATTTTTAATTCAAATTTATTAAAATTTATTTTTAATTTTTTAGTTGAATCTCAAATTTTTAAATATTTTTTCTAATATTCAATTGCCATCGGTCCTTAATAAGTATACCAAATTTCGAGTTAATCCGACGTTTTGAACGGGGTCAAAATCATGTTCAAAGATTCCGTTACAAACTTACATACGTCTGAAGGTAATAAAAGCGTATTAAAAAAAACAACCTGAAAACACAATATTGTAATAATAAAAATAATAATATAAATTACCAGTGATCGATGTAGCTGAGCGTCTGCTGGAGTACACGGGGCGATATGTATATTTTGTTCCTGTACTGATCCAGGATCCGAAGGAGCACGTCCAAGATACCACCGGTGAAGGTGGTGAGGTACCACTCTGCGAACTGGACGTACTCCTCACGCGCGTTCACCGGGCTGCCATACCTGATACGGCAAACAATTTCATTTATCAATCGTTACTGTTTCGCTCTTGTGTTGGGGTGAGACTTGAAAATTTAATATTATCTGTAGATTGTTTTTTTTTTATTGCTTAGATGGGTGGAAGAGTTAACAGTCCACCTGGTGTTAAGTGGTTACTGGAGCCCATAGACATCTACAACGTAAATGCGCCACCGACTTTGAGATATCAGTTCAAGGTCTCGGTATAGTTACAACGGCTGCCCCACCCTTCAAACCGAAACGCATTACAGCTTCACGGCAGAAAATTAAATAGGCAGGGTGGTGGTACCTACCCACGCGGACTCACAAGAGGTCCTACCACCGGTATTTCGTTACAGCGATTTCAAGTACTTTGAATGTCAGGATTCAGTCAGTCCATCATACACTTACACATCACAAGCTATCTCGCGCACAAGTAAAACAATATTTCTTATTAATTCAATTATTTCTTATTATGGTTCTACATATGACGCTCATAGTCCTACTTGTTATGTCAAAAGCAAAGATAATTAGTAGTTTTTAGTTAGTGGTTTTTTTTCACGAATTCCATAATACAGTCAAAACCGTTTACTGCGACATCGTTTAGAACAGCATGCCGGTTATAATAACCTAGAACAAAGGTCCCGGCTGAATGCTATATGAGCGCCTTATTAAAAATATTGCTTTATACGACATTGCTTATAACGACATACCCTATAAAACGACCACATTTAACTAATATTTCGGAGAATTAGATCTGTTAGAACGACCGGCTAAGCTGTATTGTAAACAATTTGAATAGGTATCCACATTTGTCTTCAGTGACTATTAAAATCAGGAAAGAAAACAGTAGGATTTAGTTTAGTGTAGGGTCTTTTCTAATTCTTAGAAACAAAACACGTGCATGCAGTAGAGTCAAAGCCCGCTTCTTCATATCTCTTCAGTTAGTTTGTTACTTATCTATACACAAGACGCACCAAAACTTTGTGGAGTTATTCGTGAAACTTTCAAAATGTCGCAAAGAAAAAGAAAACAAATTAATATTGATGAAAAATCGCGTATTATATCCAAGCTAGAGGGCGGAATTTCAAACAAAGCCGTAGCAAAGGAATACCGTGTATCACACTCGACAATTTCAACCATTTGGAAAGAGCAATGACGATACGTTAATTAAAATCCAACGTGGATTACAAAATATCTATGCACAACAGAAGTGTTCCAAACAGACCAAAATTACAGATTTTATGCTCACAGAAAAATAATATGAATTGTACTTATGTGTAATAAACAAAATGTACATAGTTGAATAAATATATTTTTCCAATAATTCCCTATCGATTTGTTTGTACTTGCACGATACACATTAAGCATAACCGGTTGTTACGACTATCGGTTTTTACTACTGAATATGAGCAGTCCCTTCGATGTCGTTATAACAGATTTTGACTGTATATACATAATATTTATAATAAATTTCAAATAAATAAATAAAAGATATTCTCAATTCGACGCGTAGGTTTTTAGTGTAGTAAATGGTTATTATTATTTAGATTTCCCAAAATAGATAATATTGTTTTCCAAATTTTACCAATGTTAAAACAGCGTCGAAAATATCTACGATAATAATTAAGTAACTGACAGCTTCTCTTCACACGTGCGAGACTTATTTCCCGTTACATAAAGCATTCCCGATCCTGCGGAAAGAATGGAAAGCAGTCGACGTCACCCAAAACACGTCATCTCGGATCCTCCCGATCCACTGACGGTGCTTCTAGGTACTTCAAGCAACGGTCACCGTTCTCGTCGAACCCGTCGCTTGCGACGAAGGGCTCGACGAGTAAATTAACTCTCAGACACAGACAGCCCACTGAGTTTCTCGCCGGATCTTCTCAGTGGGTCGCGTTTCCGATCCGGCGGTAGATTCTGCGAAGCACGGCTCATGCTAGGGTTCGTGTTAGCAACGTCGTCAGATTTGAGCCCCGTGAGCATACCTACTAGTTAGGGTTACGCTGGAATAGCCTCTCTAGGCTACCAGCATAGGCAGGAAAAAAAAAAGTTACATAAATGAATAATGAAAAAAGTAATGAAATAAAATTTGCTGTTACAGCTAATATTTTCTTTAAATTCATTAATCTCCAATACAACAGAATGTATTGCATTTATAGTTATACTTTGATTGTACCAGGTAACCTCCTAACTCTGTACATAAACTTAATAATAATAATAATTATAGTACACGCCTCAAACTGTAAATTATTATTTAGAACTGCATTTCATACGTAATTTTTTCTTTAGGAACAATTCATTTAAATTTCAAATATGATTTCCTGAACTAACAACTCTACACTTTTCCGGGTTTTCAAAGCTATTATAATATTTGAAATAATAGCAATTCTTATTCCGACAACAATGACTCTGCCTATATAACGTTGCTAGGAGCCTATATTAACAAACTGTTCTAAAATGAAAAATTAGAGACATAGTAGAGCTTGTTTTTTTTACCAATCAATCCAGAGCGTTAAAATCACGAAAGCAATCACGTAATGATAGACGCCTGATAAACGCGTATGTAAACAGGCGCTTATATTCTATATCATAATTTCATACATCACGTCCACAGACTTAAAAAATTTAAAGCGTTTCTGTAATAAAATTACATTCTAATATTCATAGGATCTAAACGCGAAAACCGCAGCCGTATTTTACGAGGGCTGCACTAAAAGTATCGGGGATGGAATATTTCCACTGTTCCTGTCATATTAAAATCTTTTCAATTGAAAACTCCTTGGTTTTAAAAATCGAATACCATTTATTTGTTTAAAAAAGATTCTCGGTCTTGTCACGAGGTTTTGTCAAACTTGTTTAGTCGTTGAGAAAATGGAATTGACTCGAGAAAATTCAAGAGCGATGATTTATTATGACTTTCGAAGTGGTTTAACACAAAAACAGTGTGTTGACCGGATGATTTCTGCATTTGGTGATGAAGCCCCATCTAAAACCACAATTTATCACTGGTTTGCTGAGTTTCAACGTGGACGTGTCAAGCTCAGTGATGATCCCCGTCAAGGTCGTCCAAAAACTGCAGTCACCCAAGAAAACGTTGATGCTGTGCGTAAGCTGATTGAGGAAGATCGACATGTGACATACCGCGAAATTAAGGCAACTTTAGACATTGGCATGAGTCAAATACAAATAATCTTGCATGAACAATTAGGTGTAAAAAAGTTGTTTTCCCGATGGATACCGCATTCGCTCTGTGAAGAGCAAAAAGCGGCTCGCGTTACTTGGTGCGTCAGAACTCTCGAAAGATTCCACGCAGGATCCTCAAATGCTGTATACAACATTGTATCAGGTGACGAATCCTGGATATACGCGTACGAACCCGAAACAAAAAACCAGTCACGAGTTTGGGTGTTCGAAAATGAGTTAAAGCCAACAAAAATTGTTCGTTCACGGAGTGTTGCAAAAAAAATGGTGGCCACGTTTGTCTCCAAAACCGGCCATGTTACGACTATTCCTCTTGAGGGACAAAGAACGGTTAATGCAGAATGGTATGCTAGCATTTGTTTGCCACAGGTCGTTTCTGAACTCCGTAAAGAGAACTGCAACCGCCGCATCATCCTCCATCACGACAATGCGAGTTCTCACACCGCGCACAGAACAAAAGAGTTTTAGAGCAAGAAAACATAGAATTATTAGACCATCCGCCGTACAGCCCCGACCTAAGCCCTAATGATTTCTATACTTTCCCTAAAATAAAGAATAAATTGCGTGGACAGAGATTTTCATCACCTGAAGAAGCTGTGGACGCCTACAAAACGGCCATTTTGGAGACCTCAACTTCCGAATGGAATGGTTGCTTCAATGATCGGTTCCATCGTATGGAAAAATGTGTCAAATTTCGCGGAGAATACTTCGAAAAGCAATAAATACATTTTTAAATAGTAATGTTGTGTCACTTCGTTAATTTCCGAAATTTTCAGTACCGCCTATGTAAGTGACGTAAACGGGAATGATCAGCTCACGAATTTGCCGGGTAAACTTCGACGAATGTCGCATTAGGCACGAGACCAAAATCTTTCGGACTCTTCAAACGAATGATAGTACCGAACCGTGCCTGTCTCACACTCATAAGCCCTACCAATCATACAGAGGCGGATTTTTAATGGGTCGTTACCCAAATTTACGTCAAAGGCAGCTCGATGCTGTGTTATCGATTTTTCTTCTTCGTCGCAACACTCCCGGTAGACGATCACTCTGCCAATAGTGTTCCGAGAATGGCTGTCATGTTTTTAGTGAAGTTTTACATTCCGGCGCCATTCCCCCCTCCGGTTGCGCGTCTGGTCTTTAATTGCAGAAGTCAATCTGTTGCAGCCTTAACTGGCCAGCAGTCCATCGTGCGAGATATCTGCCATACCGACTGACTTACTTGTTACCGATTATATACTACATTCAGATTCTAAGAATACATTTGGAAATTTCGATGGATTAAATGGACGTTCATGAGTCCCCGTTCTAGTGGAACCCGTCGCTTGCGACGAAGGGCTCGGCGAGTAAATTAACCCTCAGACACAGCCCATTGAGTTTCTCGCCGGATCTTCTCAGTGGGTCGCGTTTCCGATCCGGTGGTAGATTATGCGACGCACGGCTCTTGCTAGGGTTCGTGTTAGCAACGTCGTCAGGTTTGAGCCCCGTGAAGTCACCTACTAGTTAAGGTTACGCTGATGTCTAGATGTCTAGACCATCAGTTTAGGTAGGAAAAAAAGAGACCCTGTGTTGATTATTATCAATTGATTATATTATTCGAAATAAGTTATTATATGTACAATTTGTAGATAAACGAGACAGCAAACGGTCTAGATTGACATTCAAGGAGAATGGTAATGGCAGTCACTTGCAATGAGAATCGTTGTATACAAATTTGTCAATTATTAGATACTACGCTTTGTACAGTAGTATATTTTAGTAATAGAGAGCTAGGTTTCTTTTATTTACAAAGACATCTGCGTTAGCTTTACAGAACTCTACTGCATGCAGTTTCATAAGCGTGACGTCATTTGGGGCGAAATAAATAACGAGCAGAGATTATTCACAAATACAGAAAGATTGTCCATAAACGTGATTCATGTTTAACACGTTGTACTCTTTACGAACAACCGGTGTGCCTAGTGTACTATATCATTCGGCCAAAGCCAAAATCAGGGAATCTAATTTTATAAAACGCGATAATTTGTACAGAAGATAAAATTAGCGACTTTTACCGTCTTGTTTGGATATTTTAAAAGATTCACGAGTGACCCTCATTGTTCAAGCGTTTCAGTAAGATAAGGCTCATCGGCGAGCATTGTGGCCTGAATGAAAAGTACTCGATTTTTCATATGGCGTCAAAGGTGTTAAATTTTATGTAAAGATTTAATACAAATAATTAATATTTTACAATCAAATGCTGTTTTAATTATCTTATAATTTACTTAATTTCACTTATAGATGATATTACCTTGCCTAATACTTTTAAATTTGTTATTGAAATCCAATAACCTATTTGGATGAAAATTGCGGTAGACTATATGACCTACCTTTCGAATAGGCGATAAAGCGTGTGAACAGCCCACTTCTTGCATTTCCACCAGGGTAGCTCCATCCGTTCGTCCTCGTCAACTTGGAGCGTGGTATCGGGCACGGGACGTTCCATTATCGAACGCAAGACTACCATCCATTTTGTAAAGGCATCCCTGGTTATCAAGTCCAAAGGTAGAATATACTGAAAAGAGGTTTCAATTCCAAATAAATTGCTGTAAAATTGAGCTTAGTTTGATAAAATACACATTTTCACATCGCCTTAAGGTTTCGTAAAAAAAGTACCTTTGTTAGAGCATAGAAGCATTTCAAGATCTGCTTCTGTATCAAAATTGATTCAACAGATTGATCTGGTTCCAAGTTAACTATGAGATTATATATCATAGGGAGAAGCAGGTTCATAGCTTCTATGAGTGGCGTTCGTTTCTCGGAAATGTGGTATTCATAGTTCTTGATCAATTGATACAAACATTGTAGAGCGCCCATCCAACTATTAGCGTCAGGATTTTGTAAGAAAATGTGTATTTTGTCCACGATCTGAGTCCATCGCTCTGGAAAGTCATGTTTTATGATAGTCTTCAGGCAGACACACAACTGTACTCTGATTATTTCAGGAGCCTGGACGATCGCCTCTACTATGATGTCTCTAATCATAGCGCGATCCTGCTCGTGGATGTTAAATGGGATTGGTTCGCCCTCTTCACGCTCTTTATCTTGCCATCCTGACGTGATCAAGTTCTTGAGATAGACGACACCAGCTTGGCGCACTGGTATGTTGACATCATTTTGCATAACAACTTGCAGTAGAGCTGGAGCGAATCCGATTATCTTATGAATCTAAGACAAAAAATTAAGAAAGTGAATGACATTCTGTAATAAAAAGTAACATTCAAGCATATAAAAATTAAGATCAAGAAGAAAATGATGATGATAACTGAAATAATGGAATAAGCATTGGAAAAGGCAAGATGTATAAATAAATAATATAATAAATGTATGTAAGTTGTCAGAAAACTAATCGGGAAACAAACAAACAAATATTCTTTTTACAGATGATCAATTCTTATATTCTTTGCCACCACAATTGAAGCCTTGCTACTTAAGGACATTATTTTTTGTTTCGGTATAATGTATTAGGAATTCCATTATTTTTTATAGATGTAAGTGGGTAGTTATATTTTATTTATTACAATGTGGACATAAGATGAAAAAAGTCACGAGAACACAATGTATGCCAGCTGCTGATAAATGGACCAGGAAGAATCCTATTTATTTAGAATCATATATTATCACATTTAATTATTCATCTAAATCTATACCTACAATAATCAAAAATTTTTCTGTCATACAGCAAGTAAACAAATGCATGTTATGTGCAAATGCAATTATGCTCCATTTTAATTTTATGATGTGAAAGCCCTCTTTAAATTAATATGTAATACACTAAAATTATTAAAATATATATGTACTGAGTTTTTTAATTGCGTAAACGGGTGAATGAGTTCCAAGGTGCATGTGTTAAATGGTTACTCAAATGGTAGCTCGAAGTCTTAATTGAATAGTATAATGGGTATCTAACCATTCAAACAGGAATATATAGTATATTTATTTATTATATATATATTTATTTACAGGAATATATAATACACGGTAGAAATAGGCAGGATGGTAGTACCTACCCATGAAAACTTATAAATTCGGCCTAGAGATATCTCAGTATTATTACAAGCCCATTCTCCATGTGTATGCCTGTATCCTTTAAGTCGCCTTTTACAAAACTCACGAGAAGAGATCAGGTAATGTTAAGCTAGGCTAACACTAGAAAGCTATGTGAACAGTTCCTAGAAACTTTCTTGTAATAATAGAAAATAAACAATGTGAAATAGTAGCAGATTCTAAATTTAATTACAAATACTACAAAGTGGACTAAAGATGGTAATTATAATCTTATTGCATCAATCTGCAGTGAAGAAATTATGCATTCTGGTTTAAGAAGGACAGCCACTGTGTAAATGCGAATTCATGTTGTCTCAATGTTAGTAGTGGCATTTAATTGGCATATAATTTGGTATTTATGGGCTGCAGTAATCTATTAATGATAATAAATGCTGCTTTTATTCTTCATTGTATGAGCTATGTAAGCTTCATCTGGAGTTATTCTATACAAGTGGTGATCTCTCTTTGATTCTCCTATCCACTAATGTTTATAAGGTACTAAACTAAATTTAACTTTAGAAACTAATTTTCATATTTTTTTCTGAACATCAGCTACAACTGGCTTTGCACAATATACCAAAACATTTGTTCACTTTATTAATCTAAGCTAATCACCAATGTGATTGAATGGATCTGTAATGATTCAGATGTCTAATGTTGATTATGACAATTACATTGAGATCTAAAGTGAGTTTTTTATTGAGACATGACCAAGTGAACATGAACTTATTAAAATTGATTTTAATCCATATTTTGAATAGGTATTAATCTACCAGATTTTCCTAACAGTTATCAAATGTTTCATTAAGTATTCAGCAAATGCAATCACCTAGTCCCGTAGACATCCCACATACTATATTTAATATACAAAGGCTATTAGATACATAGATTGCCCTTGTAGGCAGACAAGCTTACGGCCCACCTGATGGTGAGTGGTTACCGTCGCCCATGGACTTCAACAATGCCAGGGGCAGAGCCAAGCCGCTGCCTAACGTATAGATATAACCGGAGACTTCAAAAATCAAGCAGTATTGGTGCAAAATCTTGAAATGTCAAACTATTTTTTTCTATACATTGTAGTTTGATTTCAGAACTCCGTATGATTTAAATTCAGTTAAATGCTACTATTAAATTTAATCAGTCATAAGATAATGTGAAAATAATTAAAATGTTAAAAAAATATATTCCAGTGTTAATGACAAGAAAGACAACTACATTCATCAGTTTACAGATGCTGCAGTTCACAACACACAGTAACACAGGTCATGCTCTCATCTCACCCCCACCCCTAACTACACAGATCAATAAATAACATTGCACAGGTATTCAGCATGTTCTCAATTGAACCTGAGATCTCTTTTACATTGTTTGTTTTATGCAATTTTAATAGTAATATAATTCCATTCAATAACTGACTTGACCACTCAGCATTTTCATTTGATTACAAACAAAAACAAATACCTTAGCTCAACAGATGAGTGTTGTTACAACAATATTTTTAAAGGTATCACTTTTTGGAGAAGATTATTTATTCTGAGATGTTTTGTTCTAATTAAATATAGTTAGTTACAAGATCGTGTTAGATTTTATTTAATTACACCATTTATTTCCAATGTTTAGCAACAAACTGACAAATGATGAAATACGCGGCAAATATAGTTTCGTATTAGATTTTTTTATGTATAGACAAACACTCATACATTTTCCTATTAATTTTACTATTAGCATCTAGACAGGTAGTATACATAGGTATTATTACTAGGTAGCATTTCGTCAAGATTCGCTTTATTGGTGGACAATAGGCTAAATCTTTAACACAGGATTTACCATGCGCGGACAAAAATAGATCAGTCACGTCGAACAGGGTTCTGGGATATTGAATACAAATATTTCTCAGACATGCGAAAACATGGTTCTGAAGATCCATACCTGCGCGGCATGTTACAAAGCAACTTTTCGCAAAATCAATATCCTAGAATAGGAAGTTCAGCAATTTGAACTGTCATATTATTTAGTCGGGTTATAAAATTACCGAGCATGTGGAAATGGATTTAAATTACCTGGGAAAGTTGCTCTTCTGCTTGTTGCCGTTGATTAGGATCAATAGTGGCGCGTAATATTTCAATTAACTTTCTGGTATCCATATTTGTGGATTGTACATTAAATTACTTGAAAATTACTTTTGTCTCACAGCGGGGCACGAGCCACCGGCACCGGGCGTGGAAGTGAAAAAGACATGTTCTCTATGGCGCAGGTCACGTGACATCATGGAGATGTTGCCAATACAAACTCTTAATATCCAGAAAATTTCTAGTCCACTTTGACTATCTAATAATGTTGTTACAGATTTATTTTTTCATTTTTTCAATAAACTTGGTTATTTGTTCGTTTATTGTTTTGTTGCTGTAATATAAAGAAATCGTTTAGAAATCCGTAAGTTGGAATATGGCGGTAGAGGTCGTTGTCCACTAATAAAATTGAAATACAAAAGTTGCTCTGTATAGCATTACATAATTATATACATAACTAGTTGTAACCGTCCGCTTCGCTGGGCATTTAAAATTAACATTATTAATTCTCACCCCCACAAAGATTCTCATCGGTTAACGCCCCCGCAACTGATGTAGGGAGTCCAACACTCATATAAATATTAGCCTATTCATTAAATACATGTATTTTCTACATGGATACCAAGTTTCAAGTCAATCGGATGTATGGTTCAGTAGCTATAACGGAACATCCGTACACTGTAGATTTATACATTAGTATAGATTATAATTATATAGATTTTGCTTAGCTATTCACTATTAAATATAATAGGTCCACAAATATAAAACTGAAATAGTGGCCAGTATATCACTTTTCAGTACTTGCAAGTACTAAATCATCTTAAATAATTATTATGTCTTTGCATAAAATTGGTGTTTTGTACGGGAGGAATATAGAGTATTTTTTTTTGTAAAATGTATTTAATTAATCAAAGTTTTTTTTTATGATTGAAGGATTACTGGTGGCCCGGAGGCCTTTTCAGTTTCACGTGGACAAGTGGGCGAGCAAAGGCTCAGCCGAGAGGGGTGGAATTTGTTAACAGCTGCCCGAGCACCTCCGAAGGAGACCTAACAGCTCAAGAGCAGCTGTTTCGCGAATGAATCTACTACCGGATCGGAATCGCGACCCGCTGAGAAGATCCGGCGAGAAACTCAGCGAGCTGATTCAAGGGTTATGTTGTACGGCGAACTCTTTGTCGAGTTCGACGAGTACGGTTACTGGGGTCTCTAACCCTGCTCCTAGTGTTAGAGCTGAAGGCGTCTAATGCAAAGGTTATTGGATCTGATGGATCCGTAAGGACAGTTAATCAGCGCGAGAATCAATAAACACTTTGAAGTTGGTTTGGACTGCCGCATCGAAGTTGAATTTTTTTCCTGTAAAAAGTTGTCCAAATCCCGGAAAAAATGGTAATCTGTTGGAGCAAAGTCAGGGAGTATGGTGGATGTTGCAGACACTTCAATTGTAGCTCATCTAACTTTGTGGTTATTTGTTGTGCAGTGTGTGGTCTTGCGTTGTAGTGAAGCAGCAGTGGCATAGCTAGAGCGATTGACCAATCTCGGTTGTTTATTAGTTTAGTTGTTTATTCTTGGTAGTTGCTGCAGCTAATTCTTCCTATAGGGCTTACAGTTGCTGACAATAAGTATTTGCTGTAATCCTTTGGCCACATTTTAGAAAGCTGTAGTGAACAACACCGGTGCTAGTCCACCAAACACTCACAAGTAACTTTTTCTGAATCAATTATTTTCTTTTAGGGCAGAACTTGGCTGGGTCTCCAGGGTTTAGCCATTGCGACGAGCGCTTCCGATTATCGTACAGTATCCACTTTTCATCACAAGTACACGGTTGAACAAAGTAACACAGCAGTCGACACGTGTTTGCAAGTTCGATTCACTCAATTCATGAGGTACCCATTGTTCAAGTTTTTCTACTTTCCCGATTTGCTTCAAGGGGATTAATGCAGTTTTATCACTTACCCCGAAGCCTGCAGCTATCTCTGAAGTGCTTTGTGATGGATCAGCCTCCACAGTAGCCTTTAATTCTTCACGGTCTCCGGTCGTCCAAGAGGTTGGTAAACCAGCACCGTACTCATCATTAATTCTTCGAGCTGTTTCTGCAGCACTGGTGCCATGGTAGAATTTGTACGCGTAAATATACTGATATTTCATTTTTTCATGTTGTGTGAGGTAATAAATGACGCCAAAGAAAAAATAATGAGGAAAAAACAAATGAATAACTGTTTTCAAAACTCAAATGTACCAGCTAAATGAATTTTGAAAATTGAATTCCAAAGAAGAGATATTTCAGAGTCCAAGTGGCCAGTACAAAAAACGTTAATTATTTCCTAAGGACCTAATATTATTCGATATAAAATAATACCTCTGGGTGTAGACCTTTTGCGCGCTGCATGACGCCGTGGACAGGGGAAAGTGGAAAAAGATCCTAAGATTGAAGCTCATGGGTGATGGTGGTCACGACCCTCAGACATGAGGAACACGACTCGAGGAGGAGGAGGAGACCTTTTAATTTATGAATTCCTTTTATATTTGGTTATTGATGTTGAATTCGTAATCTTAAATATTAATAGTTTATTTCATCGATTAGCAACCCTAGTATTGGTATTAAGAAGGTTAGTTGCAAGCAGCTGTCGTAGATTGAATGATCACTTAATAGTTATTACCAAACTTCTCTATCAGTATGACGTTTACGTGCATAAGGTTTTATTAAAATGCTGCTGAATATTACTAAATATATGTAGTGGTAAAAAACTACTAACCACAATTCCACATCTTCATAACTGAGCTTGTCTGCTCTTTCCACTACTATACTCTTTGTCAGCTGTCTATGTATAAAAAAAAAACAATGACGTCAAATACTATGTAGTATTAAAGTCAATTAAGTCAGCTGTCACAAAAAAAATTCATGTTAGGACCAAATATTACGATGAAAAAAAATTTGTATGTTTAAAGAGAACGGTAGATATTTTTTTAAAAATGAAAATATAACTGAAAATATAGTACAATTATGATAATAGAATTAAAATAAGAACAGAAATTTTCGGTTACAATATGTATTATAAAGATATTGTAGGAGTACAATAATTATATATCCCAATAATTACTATCACAAATGTTCGAAGTCGAACTGTTATACGGCCGATATTGGTCAGAGTGTAGTTTATTGATTAAAGAAAATATATCTTAAATTAGACGTGTGATGAGTGAAAGATGAGGTATAACAAGCAGGAGCTGGTGGCCCTGGCCTCGCAGACGTCGCAGAACTTCGACCGCGAGGGTGTGCTAGTCATGAGGGAGAGACAGGACGGATTCTTCCGTAGATCTGAAGGTCAGTGGCCCTTCGATAATGCGCATAAAGCATAAATAATCCACAGCAGTTTTTTCCAAGCAAATACCTACCTCATTAACTCTTTATTTTTTTTTGCACATTTTGCAAAAGCTAATTATGAAGATTTACACAGGCACACCCACACATTAGTGACATTAAATTTTACATATAATTAATTTATCCTTAGTGAGATTAAATGTTATAGAACCAATATATTTTTGATTTAAGTGGGACTTTTTAGGAGGCTATATTAAATCATCATGATTTTACTGCAGATTTGGAAAGCAGTTTCTAAAACTGAAAAAAACCATAAGATATTCAGGCTTGCTCTTTCTTAAATATATTATTATGTTCATCATACAGAAAATTTGCAAAATATGATTTCGTTGATTAATGTAGTAATTATGCCTTGAATTAGAAAAACTGAAATAAAAAACTGCATTAAAAGCTTTGTTTGTAATGTTATCATATAGTGCATGAATTCAAGACTGTTTTCAATTAGCTTGTTAACATTGTTACTGCCTGTATATATTATACTTAGTCTATCCATAAATACTGTTACAATTAAAAATAAACAAAATATTACATTTGAATTTGGAATCTGTCATTTTTATATGATTGCTCATTGAGTTTTCTCATTTTGGCGCCAATACATTGCACAATATTTTGCGATATTAAAATGGAGTGGGGTGATAAAGAAAACCGAATCGCTGTGATTGAATTACACAAAGTAGGTATGGAGCCAAATGCAATTTTTAAAACTCTCCATACACTTGGTATTAGTAAAATGTTTGTGTACCGTGATATTAATAGGTGCAATGAGACCTCCTCTGTTTGTGACAGAAAAAGATCTGGCCATCCACATAGTGTTCGTACGAAAAAGGTGGTCAAAGCAGTAAGGGAAAGAATTCAAAGAAATCCTGTCTGAAAGCAAAAGATTTTATCTCGGGAGATGAAGATAGCACCTAGAACCATGTCGCGTATTTTAAAAGATGACTTAGGACTTGCAGCCAATAAGAGACGTACTGGTAATTTCTTAACTCATAATTTAAAAGAGAATAGGGTGGTAAAATCGAAACAACTACTGAAACAGTACGCAAAGGGAGGTCATAGAAATTTTTTTTTTACGGATGAGAATTTTTTTACAATTGAGCAACATTTTAACAAACAAAATGACCGTATTTATGCTCAAAGCTCTAAGGAAGCTTCCCAATTAGTCGATAGAGTGCAACGTGGGCACTATCCGACTTCAGTGATGGTTTGGTGGGGTATTAGCTATGAAGGAGTGACTGGGCCATACTTTTGTGAAAAAGGTATCAAAACATCGGCACAAGTGTAAGCCCCTTAACAACACCATGTTCAATAATCAAGAATGGTCCTTCCAGCAAGACTCGGCGCCAGGTCATAAAGCTCGGTCTACGCAGTCTTGGTTGGAAACGAATGTTTCAGACTTCATCAGAGCTGAAGACTGGCCGTCATCTAGTCCCGATCTTAATCTTCTGGATTATGATTAATGGTCAGTTATAGAGAGTACGGCTAGCTCTAAACGCCATGATAATTTGGAGTCCCACAATCCGTGCTATTGGCAGTGAAAATTTTTCTCATGGAAAGAGTGTGTGCTTCTATTGATAACTGTTCTCAACGTTTAAAGGACTGTATTGCAGCCAATGGAGACCACGTCGAATAAGCTTTTTATATTTTAAATTGTTTTATATTTATGTATTAAACTAACACACTGCAAAAGTAATAAATGTTATTTGCCATACATTTTTTTTTGTTTTCCTTTGTAACAGTATTTATGGCCAGACTAAGTATATAGACCTCAGCAAAAAATTTGAACTTGAATATTGTTTAATTTAAAATTCTATATAATCCTGCAGATGTTGTTGTCACAAATTATGCTCTGGCCAAGGAGTGAGTTATTAATTTTTGTAGACAAATTAAATACCAAGCTTCATTTTATTTATAGTGCTTATTCAACATATTTCATTGTGTTGACTATGAAAATTTAAATTTCAGTAGACCCACATGATGTTAGCAACAACAAAATGTGATGTACTTCTGAGCCCACTAATTTCTTTATAAGCTTGCCTAATCGAATTGCAGAATCTCTTAATCTTAACTCTTTTGCAATATAAAAAAATCCTAATATCTACAACTTTGTGTGATGGCAAAACACCAAAAGACATAATGTTGTGAAAATAGCTGCTATAGGTTGAAAATATGCAGGTGGCCTTTGTTTTAATTTGTCTTATTTACATTGTAATTAGACAGGCACAATTTACTAAAACATTTGTTAGAGGGTTGGTTGGTAACTTTTGACAATATATTATTTAAAGATTAGTGTTAGATTATTAGACACTCACATGTGTAAATGTTTGGTTTTTTTTTGTGGCCTTTCTAGGCAGATGAGCATACGGCCCTCCTGATGGTAAGTGGTCACGATCGCTCATGGACGTCAGCAATGCTAGGGGCAGAGCTAGGCTGCTGCCTACCATTAAGTACTCTCTGCAAGCATCATTTGAAGAAGGACATGTCATAGTGCTTGGGAAACACCGTGGAGGGGAGTTCTTCCAAAGCCAGAATTTTCAAATACGAAAGGAACTTTTTTAAAAGTACATTTTAATGTAATTGTAGTATTTAAATAGATCATCGCAATTAAGCTATGCTGTGTGCCTTCATGAGTTGGTGCAAAAGCAATCTCATTAATACAGAGTTTTGAAGAAAATAATGAATTTTTATTATATTCGTCACATTATTCTTATCATTCATCAATTGTTCTAAAGAGATTCTGTAATCTGTAATAAATCAAACCTATAAAATCCATGTTGTGGGTCAGCCAGAATTGGTATCACCGCTCGATTTATTTTTGCAGCTAAGCAAATGTTCCAGTTTGGAAGGCTGTGAGACTATTATTTCAAATAGACCATATGCTTCTAAATGTACTAGTTGTTTTTTTTGTTGATTACTAACACCTCTGCATTAAAAGAGAAATGACATGTAATAGAATTAAAAAGCGTGTTTTAAATTTTTTAAATTATGAATATGATAAGTGAGAAAAAAAAATACTATATAATTTAAATTAATTAAATAATTATGTTTTTGCAATGCTGTCCCTGGTTATTGTCAAAACCAAGTCAACTTTATAAATATAGAAATACGGTTTGACAATAAAATGTATAAAAAAAATATGTTTATTTTCGTTGTGCTGATAGTTCTGTAATAATAGCAAATAGTGACTGTCTCATATGTTTGTCTATCTATTTATCACTATACTATGCATCACTCCATATTCTCCACACATAATATACAGTTGAGTAGAGATATAAGTTCTAAGGTCTCAAGTATAGTTATATGTATTTATGTGTGTAATTTATGTTTCAATTATTCACCTACATACCCTTATTTTCTCTGTAGTGGTTGGCCGGTAGAGAATGCCATAGGCATTAAATTCACCAATGTATATAGATACATGAAGTATAATAAATAAATAAAAATAAAGGAACAAATATACCTAAATTATGAAAACTTCACAACTTTTACTAGGTATGATTTCAGATGATAATGTCTTGATCACTTGGAAGAATTATTTTGTATAATATTTAAAAAAATCTTTTGTGTTAGGTACATAAATAAAAATAGAATAGTTCAAAATTTAAAATGCGTAACTTACACGTGTCATTGTTTAGTGGGTTAGAGTCCAAGGAAAAGGGAAGAATGGATATTAGGGATATCTATTATCTGACTGATCACTAGACAGATATTTCTGAATTCGTCAAGAGTATATAACGATGGCTGTATACGTTTTGATTATCATTTTTAGACCGATATTTAACGAGGAGTAACTTAGTTGAAGTTGGTATTCGTAAGATTTTTTTCATAATTGTACCTTGATTTTTTTTTATTGCTTATATGTGTGGACTAGCTCTCGGCCCATCTCGTGTTGAGTGGTTACCGGAGCAAATAGACATCAACAACGTCAAGGCCGCCACCCACCTTGAGATATGAGCTCTGAGTATCAGTTTTTACAATAGCTATTGTATCCTTCAAACTGATACGCATTACTGCTTCACGGTAGAAATAGGTAGGGTGGCGGTGTGCCTACCCGTGCGGGCTTACGGGGTGTCCTAACACCAATATGTGATGTGATGATTGATTTGTTTCATTATTGATATAGGTAGACAATTTTTGTTTTTTGTGGCTTATAGGTGGGTAATATTTACTTTGTATGTCTGTCTCTGAGGAAAGTAGGACGTTGACCTGACAATAGAGCGTCAAATTGCCGCAGTGATCTTATGAATTGCCTTGTTACTTGCTATAATCCGAGTTGAGTGTATGTGTACTATAGTAACCTCGCAATCATATAAGTGATCCCTTTAAGTGATCACATAAAGTAGAATGAGCTTACGTTACCCTGGTTATAAATGGTTAGGGAAATTCTTTTGAATGACTCTACCCACTTCGAGACATGAGGTCTAATTCTGGATCGTATAGAATAGAGGCTGTCCTAATTATTCGGACTAAAACGCATGAATGTTTTCCGCAGATATTATTGGGGCAGTGGTAGATACCCGTGCGGGATAACACGCTTTATTGAGACGCAGATTACTAGATGTTATTCGTAGATTCTGAAAGTCTATCAAGAACAAAGAGTTAATTAAAAAAAAAATGGTATCAGATTTGAACCCTGGTATAGCCGCACCGCTCGGGTATACCCGGCGTCTTATCCTCTAGGTCACGACAACATCACACATGCTTTTCATTGAATTCCTACTTCATAGTGGAAGGTCGCGCAAATAAAGAATATAGATGAGGTATTTTTTAAGTCTTAATTGATAGACTTTTATGGCTACCACAGCCATCATACAACACAATATATTTGACAAATGCCTGAATCTTGCTTACGACATTTGGATGCATATATACAAGTTTCGAACAACGACATTGAGACCATCGGTCTACCGAGCAATATCACCTGCTCGGTGGAAGATCTTCCTTTCGTCGTTATACCTACAGATTTATTACATTCTATTATATATTAACTTTCACCAATTCCAGGGTCAACAGTTCGGTGGTTTCGTCTTAGAGGCAATCTACTCTTCTACTTAAAAGGCCCGGAACCCTGGTATGAACCAATGGGCGTGATAATTTTGGGCAATCATCAAGTAAAACTACAATCGCAAGACGAAAACGGACATTGGCCTTTTCAAATCGGTAAGTATTATAAAAATCGGATTTTTACGTTTTAAAGGCTTACTCGTTACACGATGAGCTAGTAAGGTTATTAAACTCAATTTAAATATTTAAAACAATGAAGTGATCATTTTTCACAATGAAGTTAGCATTTTTTCTGTGTCATGTTAACTGAAAACACGCGATAAAAGAAAAAAAATTGTTTTATTTAAGAAATATTCGTTCTCGGGGACTGTGAATCGAAATTAGACCCACATATTCACTACCCAGAATAAGAGCATACAAACTTGTACATCACACGAATGTTTGTTTGATGTGAGAATCCAGCCCACGACCCTCGACCTAGCAGTCAGAAGTCCTTACTACTGGACCACCGAGTCAGTCAAAAAGTCGTTAACCACAGGATCGGTGAGGTGTCTATAGACCGATATTGTTTCGATAAGATTCGTGAGTGATTTATTAAGAAGCTTGTCCTTGTTAAAACAATTGTTAATTACAAATCATTTTGACACAATACTTTTCTTATTTGTTTTAAAGAACTTTATTCACGTTCTGGGCTAACAAACAGCTGTTTTCAATGGCTTAGCCGGATAGCTAGCTCATGGTTCATTGTTAAGTCTATGTGCGTATATTTTGAAGTCGTCGTGGCCTAAAGGATAAAACGTTCGATGCATTAGTATCTAGCGATGCAACGGTGTTCGAATCCCGCAGGCGGGTACCAAATTCTCTAATGAAATACGTACTTAACAAATGTTCACGATTGCCTTCTACGGTGAAGGAATAAAATCGTGTAATAAAAATGAAACTCGCAAAATTATAATTTGCGTAATTACTGGTGGTAGGACCTCTTGTAAGTCCGCACGAGTAAGTACCACCACCCTGCCTATTTTTGCCGTGAAGCAGTAATGCGTTTCGGTTTGAAGGGTGGGGCAGCCGTTTTAACTATACTGAGACCTTAGAACGTATATCTCAAGGTGGGTGGCGCATTTACGCCGTAGAAACTGGAAGTGGAACAAACTGGAACGCCTGACCACTTCGCGACAGAAATAGTCCGAACAGCGCTAGATGCGGTTTCACAATCAACTTACCATCAATAAACGTAGGAAAAAAAAAACCAGAAGCAATCTTTATGAACAAACTCCTTTCAGGCAACAGGTACATTTTGTTATAGGGGATTTCTGTACGGCTTTAGGTGTATTAGATGGTAAATAGGTAGGTCATTCTTATCTTAATTCGATTTGTACCATTGATAACTTTGTTATAGGTACATCATTTTCATATTTTTATTTATTTATTAAAATCATGTTCGTCCAGCGATTGTTTGGAAAACATCGCTTTTAGAGACTAATATAATATTTCGCCTTTGTTTTCTTTGCAATATCTTTTCTGTGGTGGAAATCAAAGCATATTATATTCTATTGCTAAATGAAATTAAAAAGTACGACTTTTTTTTTGCTAAATTACTCGTGCTTTTTAAGAGCAGGACCATTATCCTAATGCAGTTTGGGACATCGACACCATGTGTCAGGGGGTGGTGGTTGCGTTCAGGCCACGTGATCACGGGCTTAGTTTACTGGTCGAAAAGCTCTCACAGCTTATTTCAAAAACGACCTAAACGACGAAAATGTTTGTTCTTACTCGATATCTTACAATTGTGCAATATACTAAAGACTGAAATGTGATCTATTGAACGTGTTAAACTATTGCGCGGCAAGTAATGTGGGAAAACGTCATTTTGCAGTTTGTGCAAATTAAAGAAACGATTTCTGTTTTGCTTTGTTAAAGAACGTTTTTATTTAGGTTATTTATTATTGCTCTGGTGGAGGTTCAGCGGGCTCAATGAATTAGGGCTGACGGGTTTCAGGAAACATGCACGAGGTAGATTTTACTAGTGGCAGGGCGTATGTAAGCTAGGGCTGTTAGGTACCACCATGCCCGTTTCTTTCCGGCGAAGCAGACATGCATTTCTGTTCGAAAACTAGGACGATTGTTATGCTATGCATTTTGGGACTTATTGTGATGGTTAGGAGTTCTGTTGACTGCTCATCACTTGGTGATATAGTTCGCCTGTATCTTTCTTCTTTTTCTCCAGCTTATCCCACTAGGTGGGGTCGGCACTGCATATTTTTCTATTCCTTTCTCTTCTATCAGTTTTCTCTCCTCTCTTTTCCATAAAGTCATTAAGACACTCCATCCATGTCTTCTTCGGTCGAACTCTTCCCCCTCTACCTTGCACTACCATTTCCATACATCTCCGAGTCACATGCATTTTCTTTACGCATCACATGTCCATACCACGCTAATTGTCCGCTCTTTAATTTGTTGATTACCTACTAGGGCTACATTCCTTATCTTGTCCATTCTTGCCACTTCACACATCCATCTCAACATTCGCATTTCTGCCGCATGGACTCTGTAGTTCCCATGTATGTGCCATATTAAATTAAAGTGGTCCCCGGGTAGTCGAAATTCGACGAAGATTAAATGAGATTATAAGTTAAAACATTATTATGTTTGGTTATGGACCACCGACTTTAAACAATAACAAAACTTTGACAATAAACAAAATATGCGCGCGCGTGTGTGGGCGTGTGTAATGTTTTTTTATTGATTTAATGTATCTCTATAAGTGTGGGAAATTTCATACTCCTCCGCCCGCTCAATTTTCGTAACAAGGGGTACAAAGCTTTTGCTTCAGGTATTAATATACAACGTGTTACAAAATACCCTGTAAAAAATATAATTAATTATCAAAGCCAAAAATTTTGTCAACCCTAGTAAGCTGTCATGTCAGGGAACCAGATTATTTAACAGAAAGGCCTACTACATATCTTTTTTACCTAATATTTGTCTACTTTATTGTTTTTCTATTTTTCATCGATAAATGTTTGCTACATTAGTACAAGAATGTCATTATACTCAAGTGCTGGCTTAAAAAAATTTCAAGTTGGAAAAAAATATATGCTTACAATTTCAAATCTTCTAATCGATATCCTACTACTGTTTCGAGTAGAAATGTACCTCTACATTCTGCGCAGTTTATTCTTTGATTTTACTGAAATAGGGTTTGCACATCAGTGAAAATAATATTTTAATGTATTTTATTTTTTTGGGGTATGCCGTATGATATCCAGCTTTACTACGGTTCTTAAATATTGTGAATAGACTCGTTATAAGGCCCCGTTTAACCTCCTTTCGGCTTTACGGGTAGTTTTGTAACACCCTGTATAGATAACCGAGGTAAAAGTCAAGCAACTAAACCACTAAAATATCATTTTGGAAACTTATTTCTATGACTAACTGTTTTGACTGTCTCGGTGGTGTAGTAGTTAGCGCCCCTGATTGTTGCGAGGGTCGCGGGTTTGATTCCCACACCGGACAAACATTTGTATGATGAACAAGTTTGTTTGTTCATTGTCTGGGTGCTTATTATCTATATATGTATATATTAAAATAAAGCAAAACGTATATATACAGTGGTGGTCGTATAATTAGAAACACTACCAACGGTTCTTGACGTTATGTAAGATACTTTACCGCAATCGTTTTTATTTTGAAATTAAACAATAAATAGGACAACAATATGTTCAACGATTTATCATTTATTAGAAAAACAATATAGATCTCACTACACAAATGCAGTTTCAATATTACATTACGGACAAACATTTAAATCAATTTTAAGGTATGAACAATAACGGTCATCTAATTCGAAACAACAACAAAAAAGTATAAAAACAATATATTTTTAGTAATTAGTATTGTTATTTAAGAAATAGCTACTATCCACAGCCTACCAATAGTTATAGTTAATTAATTATTAGTTGCGTATGGTTCCTAAGGAACGTGAATCTCCATGATGACCTGGAGCATGACTCAGTCGGCGATCATTGCGTCATTGAGTCAGTCATTGTGGCACTTTGAAAAGGCGGCACGACATGAAAACCCTTTTTTCGTGGCCACCGGGCATTACATACCCGATCCTGTACACCGAATGGTAAACAGTCGACGTCGCCCTAAACACGTCATTACGGATCCTCCCGATCCATTAACGGTGCTTTTAGGTACCACAAGCACCGGTCACCGTCCCTTTGAGCCCCGTGAGCTCACCTACACGTCAAGGAGAAGCTGAAATAGCCTCTCAAGGCTATCAGCATAGGTAGGAGAAAAAAGTGGCGTATCCCTTATTTTCAATAGCAGAACTGCCCCCACCTGGCATTGATTCAATCAATTCCATACCTTAATCTAAGGGGATTGGATTCCATGCTTTAACATACAATGCTTCACATAGCTCGTTATGACTCGTGTTACGTCTATTTGAGACTTTATTTTTAACAATATACCATATAACAATTTTATATCGGGTTTAAATCCGGACTATTTGCTGGCCAGTCTAAAACGGATACACGCTGTTCGCTAAGGAAACATTTGACGCTATGGCCGTGTGCTTAGGGTCATTGTCATGCTGAAATATTCAGGTTACAGGCAAATGGTCGTCCGAGTAGGGAATCATTATGGGCTCTCAAATATTTTTGTATTGCCATTGACCCATTGTACCTTCAATCTTCCGAAAGGGTCCAACTCCATATCCGGAAAAACAACCCTAAATTTTAATGTTACCGCCGCCGTGCTTGACTATACTCCTTGTGTACCTATTTATAATTAAAAGCATTACCTATAGGACGTCTAACATACCGATTTCCATCGGAATTTACCATTGTACTTATTTTTGTTTCATCTGAAAATAACACTTTTTAATACTCTTTTATTCGCTTCAGACGTATGTATGTTTGTAACGGAATCTTTGAACATGATTTTGACCCCCTTCAAAACGTCGGATTAACTCAAAATTTCTTATACTTATTAAGGACTAGCGACCCGCCCTCGCTTCGCTTCGGAAACATTAAAACACACATGAAACCAAAAAAATAAAAAAATAAAAATAAAAAAAAGTAGCCTATGTTCATCAGGGACAATGTCGGCTTCTAATGGTAAAAGAATTTTTCAAATCGGTCCAGTAG